TATAAAGAAAAAAGAGGATAAGAGAAAAGGACAAGCCTTATAGTACTCTTATAGTAACTTCTTAAGATAGTACTACTTCTTTATAAAAAAAAAGACTAGTTATCTAATTAGTAAAAAAGCTATATACTTACTATATAGCCTATATAAAGAACCTTAGGTACTAGAAAGTATAGAAAAGGCGTATATAGTTTACTATATTAAAGGCGCCTTTAATATTAAGTTAAAAGAGAGATACTATAGCCTTATAGCTTTATACTATATATATAGTATTAACTACTATTTTAACTATAAGGTCTATTAAGTGTTATAGCTAGTTCTTTATCTATATCTTTAGAAAGAGCCTTTACGACTTTATAGTATTAGTAAAGTACTAGCTAATTACTAACTTAATTACTTTACTTATTATATTTAAGAGTAATATTAGCCTATAGGCCTTTATAGTTTATTACTATTTAAAGGTCTTTCTAGGCTTATATAGTACTACTACCTTTACTACTTTAAACTATATAAGAAAGTGTCTTAGCTAGAGGCTTATAGTTACTATTAGTATAAGAAGCTTAGCTAAAGGGCGCTTATATACCTTAAGAAAGCCGGTAAGTAGTAAGTTAAGACCTAGCGCCTTTTAGGTACTTGTCTTTTAGAAAACGTTAGTAATATCTACCTTTATTATAGTGTTATTAATAGTAAACTATTAGTACTACTTATCTTAAAGGTCTAGAATAACGTTACTAAGATTAGCTATTAATTCTAGAAAGAACTACTAGCCTAACACTATTACTTTATTATAGTAGCTTATAGCTAGTACTTTTTTATTAGCGCCTTATAAAGGTAAGAGTAAGGCTAGTTCTAAGGGTATATAGCTATAAAGCCTAGCCTACTTCTTAAGACTCTAGAGTTTTTATTAGTCTTTTAAGGTAGTAGTAAGAGTACTATACTAGCTCTTAGTTTTTATATCTTAGATTATATAGAGTTAATAAGTACTAGCCTACTAAAGGTCGCGCTAGTAGAGCTTAGTTAAGGCGGTAGTATATTAATAGTACGCTACTTATACTTACTAAATAGCCTTAAAGACTTTACTATTTTACTAAGGCTTAGTACGCCTTTAGTTAACCTTTTTTCTTAGAGTAGATATATCTATAATATATATAAGCTAAGAAGTAAGTAAGTTAACTACCTTATTAACCTTATAAGGTATATCTAGTAGTTCTAAGAAGAAGTAAAGCCTTCTAGCCTTAATTATTACTAGTTCTTAGTCTATTAAGGTCTAGCTCTATTCTAGTACTTTTATAGCTCTCTTTTAGTAATCCCTTACTTAAGTAGTAACCTTAATTAGCTAGGTATAGTAGTTAGATCCTTTATACTCTAAGTTACCTTAATAAGTATACTAGAGCGTTACTATAACTTATATATAGTTAATTATTAAGTCTTATTTATTATATTACTACTATATTAGCTCTCTTTAAAGTATATATAGTAAGAGCTACTACTTATAAGCTAGATAAAGAAAGGTCTTTAATTTAAGGGTAGTCTTATTAGCTTTATCTTAAAGTAAGTAATAAAGGTTTATATTACTTATAATAATCTATAGCTCTTTTAAGTCTTTCTTAATAAGCTACTAGAGAGGGCTAGCCTAGCCTAAAGAGTTAAGAATTAGTAAGTATATTAACTAGATAGTAATACTCTATAAAGTAACGTAATACTAGTTAACACTTATCTTTACTACTTAAGTAAGAAGTAAGTACTACTTATAAACGTAAATAACTACTTTACTTTTGTTCTTATAGACCTACTAGTACTTTACTTATACTAGGTAGTAGACTGTCTTTATCTAAGTATTATACTATAGCTCTTAAATTACTATAACGTCGACTTTATAGCTATTATAAAGTACTATTAAGGTAAGGCTATTCTTTCTTATAGTATTCTAGTATACTATTATTAATTTTATTACTAAGAGTCTAAGATCTATAAGTCTTACGTTATAAAAAGGTTACTAGACCTCTAGCTAGCTCCTTAGCTTAATATCTCTATAATATTATAGCTCTAGACTATTACTATATCTAGTACCTTAATAAAAAAGTACCTTTACTTTACTAGAGTCTTTACTATAAGCTTCTTACTATTACTTATCTATAGTCTCTTAGGTACTATAATCTAGTAGCTATTATTACTATCTTATAAGGACGTTAGTATAATACTAAGTACCTAGCTAGTAAAGCTACTCTTAGATACCTTAAACTATCTAAGCCTTTATTAATATATAGTATATACTTACTCTTTTACCTTAAGGGCCTTAAGATACTAATAGTCTTACGTTATATATAGTCTACTATAGTTAATGTATTTCTTTTTACTATTAAGCTAAGAGTACTCTTCTTTACCTTAAGGATATACTATTCTTATATAGTAGCTATACTAAGCCTAGTTCTTATAAAACTACCTAATATAGCTAAACTAGTAGTACTAAAAGTATCTTTAGATTTATAGGTTAGCTAAATATAGCTTATAGTTAAAGATCTAGGCTTACTAGATTAACCCTTATTTATATAAGTACGTTACTATATTAGTACTCTAAAGGTATAGTACTACTATTATAAACTTTACTATAAGGGCCTTAATAAGTTTAACTTTAACCTTTATAATATATAGTATATAGGCTTAGATCTCTACTAGTAATACTCTTAGCTCTACTTATATAATCTGTTCTACTAGTAGGCCTTTTATAATTACTATAAACTTACTCTTATAAAGCTAGGCTATAGGCCTAAACACTCTTTATACCTAGCTCTAATCTTAGATTATATTCTTTAGTATAGCCTCTTTAAACGTAAGAATAGTATCGCTACTAAGTAGCTAGTAAGTCGCTACTACCTTAGTGTCCTTAATTACTATATTAGCTACTATTACTACTTTAATAGTACTATAACGTACTAAGTCTTTTATTTATCTATTTACTTTAATCCTTAGCTCCTTAATCTACCTCTTTAGTATAACTTGTACTCTTATTAAGTACTAGCTTACTACTAACGTATAAGTAGCCTAAAGGGCCGCTATTACTACTAGCCTTTAGAAGGCCTCTTTTAATATTGTTCTTAATTGTCTAATTATTACTAGGTTATTATTAGAAAAAGACTTAAGAGTATATAAAAGAGTTGTTATGTTTATAGCTCTTATCTTTACTACTATTATTATTATAGTAATAAGGTTATATAAGAGACACGACGCTTTTTCTTCTTTACCTAGTATTATATAGGCTTTAATCCTTTATATAATTTTCTTTATCTTATTATCCTTATTACCCTTACTACTCTCTAGCTCTTTACTATAACTCTTAGTTAAGGTATAAGAGTACTAGCTCTTACTTATAAGTAAGTAGTATTAGCTTTATTTAAGTCTAGTATACCTACTATCTGTTACTATAAGCTTGCTTATAGTCTACTAGTACTTTAAGAGGTATCTAAAGGTACTAATTTTAATTCTATTGTTTATTTTTAAGTTTTTAAGGTAGTAAAAGGCGTAGACGACTGTTTTTATAAATCTTATATTTTATGTATAAAATATATAGTATACAAATAGTAGAGTATAAGAAAAGGAATACTATATAAGATCTATTAATCTATAATCTACTAAAAGACCTTAAGGATAAGGACATTCTTAAGCTAGTAGTTAATAAAGATTATAATAGTATAGAGTTAGTTTTACTAACTCTACCTCTAAGATCTAAGCTAGAGACTCTTAAGAGTATTAATATACTAAGAAAATAAGTATAAGAATTATAAGATAAAAGATCTATTTTAGATTATATAATAAAGTAGGTAAGGACTTAAGGATAGTAGAGCCTAAGTACTAAAATATATATATAAAACTATTTTAATTTATTTTCTTTATAATTGTTTAAACTTAAGATAACTATACTAATCTTTATACTAATCTTTATACTAATCTTTATACTAATCTTTATACTAATCTAAGTAATCTTTATACTAATCTTTATACTAATCTTTATACTAATCTTTATACTAATCTTTATACTAATCTTTATACTAATCTTTATACTAATCCTTATACTAATTAATAATTATAACCTTAGGTATTACGTAACTATAAAGGTACCTTAGTACCTTAAGATATACTATACCTATAGGTTAGGTCTACCCTATAGGTTAGGTCGTAGATTTATTTAGGGACCTATAGGTTAGGTCCTATTTACTATAACCTACCCTATAAGGTAGGTACCTAACCTATTTAGTAGGGACCTATAGGTTTCTGCGCAGCCTAGCCGCTGCCGTGGTATGACTCTGGGATCGTTAGGAGGTTTGCAGCAATTTGCACCTTCTACAGAGTAGAGATAGGACCGTCGAGTTTGAGCGTATAGATAGTACGTGCTTGTACTGGTGAAAGCATTGCTTGTTGTGTTGTGATAGATGGTTTCTTGACGGTCCTGGTGATTCCAATGAGTTCTGTAGCTTGGTCGTATGTATAACCGAAGCGTTCTTGCCACATCCTGATTGTTCCTTGGGTTGGGTCATAGGAAGCTGTGTTCTCCTCAGCCTCCTCGTATGTAGCACTAACTGCCAGGTTCTCTAATTCGTCAAACAACTCCATTGCAAGTGTTGAGGTGGCGGCTTTAGTTTGTGAAAGTGGTATTAGACCGATAGAATTGTAATTATTACGGTGATCTTAACAAATGAAAACTGGTTGCTAAGAGTTGGAACTATAAGCCATTCACTTTCAAGAATGATGAGAGTTGTTGCTTATCAACGGGTGCGTGAATTGTTCGGGTGGTCTTGGATTCCTTGGAAGGTTAGTGGTATGTTATATCCCGCAAAACAACATCATTAAAGAAAGCATGAGCAGAGAGCTTTTATATAGGTTGTTCTAAGAACTGGGCTCGAACTAAGATCGAGTCTAGACAACCTGTAGCACTAACCAGTTCAAAAAGGAATGCGTGAAGTTAGCACACATTAAAAGTGTAGCCGGAGGACCTTGATGGTCCCAAATGTGCCAATTAGAAATAATAATTGAAATAGCAGTTGGGGTATAGGAAGTTACAAAGATCTATGTGAGTAACAATCGTGCCACTCTAGTTCTGTACTCAAGTGTTGTACGAAGAAGAGATCGAACATCGCCCAGGCACTCTCCACCTGGAGGCCCCCTAATCAATCCTTTGCCTTGCCATCCCCAACGGCTTTCACCGGGGCTTGACCACTCGAGCTTGGTGCCGTGACCCTACGCTGGACATCCCCTTCCGGCTGGTGCCCATAACTATCCGGACGATTCATCTCCGCCGTATCCCTCGCCGCAGTATATTTCAAGAACACCTTCTGGACCGCATTATCAACCTCCTCCTGCGTAACCGTGTCGCCCGCAAGCACCATCCTAGCCTCCGTCTCCTCAATGAAGTCCTGAACCTTGCGCATCTCAAATTCGTCTTTCCGCAGCCGGTCCGGGAGGCCCTGCCCCTTCAATAGCGCCAGAATCCCCGCTATGCTGGTGTTCGCTATCCCGAGGATCGTGATCGATGTCGGGTGCAGTTTGGCCAGCGGGCCCAGCGATGACAGCGTCGCCCCAATCATGATCTGCGCTCCGAGTGCAAGGTAGAAGATGATTTCGATGAAGTGGTATTGCCGGCTGCGTCGGCGCTGCTGGGCGATTATGGCTTTGTACAAGCCGCGCGCGCCGCGCCGTGCAGACTCGAGGTCCGCATCTTGGGAGTCGATGTTGATCCCGATTGCGCGGCGGAATTTGAAGAGGTTGTTCTCGTTGTTACCCTCGCGGTAGACTGGTTGGGGTTGGGACGGTGAGTCGTAGTTGGAGCCGCTGAGCAGCGGGGTCTGCTCGTCTGCCATGGTCGTTGCGGCGGTGGTGGTGTTATATACAGTTATGGAGAGAAATGAAAAGCGCAGCCAAACGAGGTTGGTAGGTTTGACGATACATGCTCCTGTTCTTTGCTTTCTGGTCCAGGCGGTGTATGTTGTAGAAGCTGTGCCGCGCTGTTTATGATAGTTTAGGATAGTGAGGCTATCAGCTGCTCAACACCCCTGCCCTTGTTCTGATATACCCCTGTTGGGAGATGCCATTGCAGATCTCAACAATCATCTCTCAACCTCTGCTCCGTACACGTTGGAGAATGATTATTATTATCTGAGTTATTGAAGTCATCACAATGTTGTACGGAATCGAGACTCGGCGCTTGCGGCCCTCGCCGCTTTCTTAACCTTATTTTGACCTGCCAAAGATGGGCATTTTCTATGACGATCACAAAGCAACTAACTTCTCACAATTCCGGCTCTTCCATCCTCCCATCGAATTGTCTCCTGCTCTCGAGCCACGATCTGGGGAGTTCGAACATGAGTGGGCAAGCTACATCCTTCATTACCAACTCCCATACTGTTACTGCTCGTTTGATGCAAGCATTATCGGAGTTCCATGAGACTTGCAGTCCAGATCTCAATCCCAAAGCAAACCCCACGTTCACATGTATTCCGTGAATAAGTATTCATCGCGCGCCCCTCCAGAAAGTTCTCATTCCCAAGCCTCTTCTCTCTAATTCCACAATCCGGTTTTTTTTCCATTCAGGATGCATTTCTATTCAAGTGCCGTCGTTGTAATTGCTCTAGCAAGCATGGGTAATGCCCAATCGCAATACACTTCAACTGGCACAGCTGCAGTTGCGCAAGCCAGAGCCACGGCCTTGACGCTGAGCCCTACAAGTTCCGTTAAGGGAAAGACCTTTGATAGATTTGTGACCATCTGGTTAGAGAACACCGATTATGACATGGCTGCGGCTGACCGTATGCATTCTCCAATTCTGTTTTTTTCGAGTTATTCTCTGACATGAATAGCAAACATGCAATGGATAGCAAGTCAGGGAATTACCCTCACTAATTACGAGGCTATCACGCATCCCAGTCAGCCAAACTATATTGCGGCTGTCGGGGGTAGTACCCATGGATTCACCTCTGACAACTTTGGAACGATCGATAGTTCTGTGCAGACGATCGTGGACCTGCTTGAAGCAAAGGGGATCAGCTGGGGCGAATACCAGGAAGATATGCCATACTCGGGCTTTGAAGGCAACTACGTTAACCAACAAACGGGTGCCAACGATTACGTCCGAAAGCATAAGTATGTCTCTCAAATTGAAGAACAACTGTAGTATCTGACTCGAGATCATGGCAGCCCTCTCATCAGCTACGATTCTGTGACTTCGGACGTGGACCGCCTGGCAAAGATCAAGAACTTCACCATGTTTTACAGCGATTTGGAGGCCAACAAGCTCCCTCAGTGGATGTTTATCACTCCCAACATGAGTAAGTCAGTTCTTAATGGTCCCTTGGCAAGCCCTGACAGGAAATAGCAAATGACGGCCACGATACTTCGATAACCACTGCTGGATCGTGGGCTCGAAGCTTTATCGAGCCTCTCCTCACAAACCCCAACTTCATGAGCAATACTCTCGTGCTGCTAAGTTCGTCCTTCCCTCCCCACTGACCTTTCTTGCATTAAACTTACCATCCCCTCCTAAAATCAGCATTCGACGAAACGGAGTCCTATGTCTCGGATAACGACGTCTTCTCCGTCCTGCTTGGTGATGCGGTACCGGCCTCGGCGCAGAACACGTCAAACGGGACCGCGTACAACCATTACAGCATCCTGGCTACAGTGGAGAACAACTGGGATCTGGGGAACTTGGGGGAGAATGATGTGGGAGCTACGCCCTTCTATTGATTTATGAAATTTAGTTGAGTGATGGTGATGGATCCTCAGGGATCTGTGAAATGTTTGAATCTGGCCTGTTTGTTTGCATATTGTTGCAACTTGAATAATTGCATTATTCACATCTCAACCACAATACCTTAGTATCTTAACCTTGACGCTTAACACACAAACCCCGCATCCCGAAACCTTACCCTTCGACACCAGATAACAATACCATAAAACTGTATTTATATTCCCTTAAAATTACTAAAAATAGGTACAGGATCTCAGATGTTCCGTCAGTAATGGGGATGAGGGAGTCGGGGAATGCGTCAGTTTTCAAGTTGATGTGAGTTATTTAGATAAGTGGGTGGTGTAAATTATGTGAGTTCTGAATGATCTATCTGGGTATAAGTACCTAAGGTAGGGCAATTCTCGCTTGTTAATAGGGGGAGGGACTCTTTATCTAGGTACTGTTCGGTTACCTAGATTCAAACCGTGACTAAAACTAAAGTACGATTGAAAAGCTATAATAACAGTTACTAGGTACAGGTAGGTAATAGATAGATAGATAAATAGATGCTTGCTTGCTAATACGCAGAAATGACAATCTATCTCGAGTTCGCTTTATGCTACATAGACCAAATAGCTTCTAACCCATATCCATATATGTAAGCACTTTACAATCTCCCCCACTCTTTACTCATATCCAATCCAAGTCGTACGCGCATGTACATACATACCCTCAATAATCTATTTAACCACCTTCATTTGACACTTACTTACATCCCCTATCCTCTTTCCGCAGGATCTTTAATCTTCCCCTCTGCTTTCGCCGGCAGCCTGCGCACCGCGGGCGTCAATCCTATCGCGACGCAGATCATGACCAACCAGACGAGATACCCGCCCAAGAACTGCGTTCGCACGCCCGCAGCGAAGATGCTCGTGAAGAGGGCCGGTGCTACCGCGCGCTGCGCCGCGATCACCGTCAGTGCGAGTGCGTTCAGCGTCCCGAGCGTAGAGGCCGAGGGCGCGATGTCGTTTAGTGCCAGTTGGACCGCCGCTGTTGTTGTTGTGTTAGAGAGATGCATGCATATGTAGGCGAAGAAGAGATGGGGGGAAAAGAAGGGGGTAGGGGCTTACTAAATGCCATGCTGACACCGCACCCGACGACGTTTACGGTCGGAGCGACGATCCAGAAAGCGGTTTTCCATTCCTGACGAAGGAGAACATTACCGATGGGGCAGGCGGCGAAGAAGAATGGCCAGGCAAAGGCGCAAGCGCGCAGTACGCCTCCGGTGCCGACACGGCGCTGGAGGGGTGGGAACACGATCAATGTCCAGAGGGCTTGTGAGATGCCGCCCGCGCCCAGGAACATGGAGATTTGGAAGGGGGAGAAGCCGTAACCGCCGAGTGAGGGTTGAGTAAACCAGAAGACTGGGATTACTGTGGGATGAAGAGATTAATTTGGGTGGTGTGGACAGAGTTGGGGGTTTATTTACCTGCGGTGTAGCAGAAGGCCAGGAGCATGGTGTGGCCGTAGATGTAGATGACGGTGGCAACGCCTGGGAATTTGATAAGTTCCCATGTTGTCATTGGGGATTCCTTTTGCTTGGCTCTACGATCTTGGGTCAAGGTCTAGGTATGTCACATGTGATTAGCAGGGTTAGATGGAAGGCCGACGAGGACAACATACTTCTTTGACAAAGAGTGTGGTAAGAATAGCAGCACTCGCACTAAACAAGCCACTAACAATGGTAGGAAGAGCATATGGATAGTCTTTAAAGAATTGGATATTCCCAAAAGCCCGCGGGTATTGATCAGCGGGGTTGGACAGCACACCACCTATATAGCATTCAACAATCTGACGATAACTAATCTTGTAGGTGAAGCTTACCAATGAAGGGGCCAAGAAAGATGCCAATATTGCTGGTAAAAGTGAAGTAGCTGAAAGCTATAGCCTGAGTCTTCGGCGTGCTATTCTCCGAAATCATAGCCCGAAGCGTGCTATTCATCTACGTGAGCCATCTCCACTAGGAATCGGCAGTTCTCTCTACTCACACAACCATGCCCCCAAAGAACCCTGCCAGACATCTGCAAAACATCATCTGCCAGATAGCTTTACTGAACCCAAAGAGCGTTGTTGCGATCGCCACTCCAAAAAGCGTGAGAACCAGCACTGGCTTTCTCCCAAGACGATCCGCGGCCCGGCCCCAGGCGATCATCGTTAGCATCTGCGTTAAAGAGTATAATGATTCCTACTCGTTCTCTTAGCTCCGGACATTTCAGGCACATATGGTAGCGTGGGAGAACTACTAACTATAAGACCGCTATAGAACCCCACATCCGCCTCGTCAAGATTCCCCGTTTCCAAGATCATCTTGTTGACGAAAGGAAAGATGGAAAAGAAAGCAATTGGCTCTACTAGCCGTGCATAGCAGAGAAGAAAGATCTGAACTTTTGGTAAGGGCGTATCATCTTCGGCTTCTGAGGGTGGGGTATCTTGCAATAGTGAGGACTCTTGGTTGCTTTGAACAGATGGTCCTGCTTCTAGGAGCGGAGTCGTTTCATCTGTAGCTGATGGCTCTTGATTATTCTCTGAAGGAGGTGAGACAGCCATCTTTTATAATCTTGGGATTTCAATGGAAGAGAAATCCACTCTTGGGAGTGGAAAGAGGTGTTGATGAAGATGATTGCGCACTGATATGCCTGGTGAGGTAAGGTATCTCATAGGAGGGAAGGATATCTACCTAGCTGTATCAGGCTAGTCATTCGGTTAGCAATCACCTCTTCCCCTGAACGGAGAATCTCTTACTCCGTAGATCCGAAACCGTGCAGATAAGCAATTCGCAGACAAGTTCACAGGTCATATCTATTCTTGGAATTTGGAACATGATTCTGTAGATTTAGAATGTTGGTCGTCATTTATTGTCATCTAGTCATGATGTACAGAGAGAAAGCAACGTATTTACCACCAACGCCCGCTGATAGAACAAAGAAGGAAAGATGGTACAAATGGTCGAGATGTGAAGAATACGAAGCTTTCATCTGCCTTCGGAAATCCGCTGCCCTGATCGCAGACAGCCACGCCCTACATCTCAATAGTCTTGGGTCTGAGACTCAACACGCTCTCCCTCTCCTCCCTACCCCTCCTTGACCTCCCTTTGAGCAGCATTGACAGGGTCGTACTCTTCCTCGACTTTGTATCCTGGGGTTCCTCCTCAATCATGAGCATCTCCTTCTTTTTCTTTTTCTTTTCCTTCTCTCCAGCCCTGCTCCTTCCCGTCTCAGAGCCAGCTTTACTCACAGAGCTCCTGGAGGGCGGAACATCTTCCCCACGAATCGTGGACTCGCTCCCGATTTTGCTGGCAGTCTTGTGGCTCCTATGGCTCCTGTGGCTTCTGTGGCTCTTGCGGCTCTTGCCCGAGATCACAGTACACTCTTTGATGGTCTCCCTATCGCTGCCTTCCTCTTCGAGAGCTTCCTCCCGAATCGACATCTCGTAATTCTGCCTGGCCGCCTCGGGGGTAATGTACTCGCCATCTACACTTGTGCCCACGCTCTGGGCCTCTATATCTGCGATGCCCCTACGCCAGCAATCAATCGAGCTCAGCTCAACCTCGACCTCAGCCTCCGGCTCATAGAGCTGAACCGGCTGATAGGGCTGAACCGGCTGATAGGGCTCAATTGCCTGGTAGGCGAGCGGTTCCTCCAGACGGGGTGCCTCCTTAGTTTGGATCCTCTTAATGATCTTGTACCCGCCAAACATGACAATCGTAACCCCGAACGCGACGCCGCCGGCGATAAGGAACTGTGGGCTGGCGAGCAGAGCAAAGATAGCTGGGCTTGCGGCCTTGACAGTGGCGATGATGCTGGGCGACATTTTAGTGAGAAGGTTGGACAATTCGGCCAGGGTGAGAGCTACGGCGGCCATGGCTTCGGGGTTCGCTTGCAACTGGGAGATTATAGTCGTGGCGGAATGCTGCAGACACTCGGCCTCGATCAATAGGGCATCGAGCCGAGACATCGTTTCTGCTAATTCGAATTCGTTTGCCTCGTCCGGGCCTGCGAGCGACGAGGGATGTGGAATGGGTCCGTAGGCGAGGTTCATGTCGATATTCTCTTCTTCTTCATTTTCGGCGTGCAGGTCCGGGACGGAAGAGGAACGGTACGGTTCGTAAGTGTGATAGGATGGAGGGAGAATGGAACGAGTAAGTTGGGTTGTGGTGGGATCGATAGGATCGATAGGATCGGCGGGTTCGAAAGGGGTGGAAGGGGGGAAGTCAGTATGTCGTCGTACAAGAGACAGTTGGCTGGGCTCCGCGTTTTCGATATACGGGGATCGATATCTAGCTCCTCCGTCTCTCGTGCTTCGGGAACTGCGGTGCTCGCCATGATGACTTGCGGACCTCCTGCTTCTCCTCGAACTGCTTGTAACCACAGACTCTTCATCAATTTGGGATAGATTCTCTGCCGTTAATGGCGGCCGCGATGATCTCTCCCCCTCCCTTTCCCTCCTATGTCGATGGCTGCGACGAGAAGATCTCGAATGTCGGGACGAAGCGACGGATTGTTCTTCTTCTCTCGCCAGTTCTTCTCTCGCCAGTTCTTCTCTCGCCAGTTCTTCTCTCGCCAGCTCTTCTCTCACCAGCTCTTCTCTCACCAGTTCTTCTCTCGCCAGCAACAACTTCTGCGCGTGTCTGTGTCTGCTTCGAGCTTGGTGTTCGGCGTGTAGGGCAGACTTCTTCTCGTTGTAGGCATCTCTGGCATCTTTGAAGATATTGATTAGGTGTTTGCCCTGGTTATCTGTTAGCCACAGGGACCGGGGAGAGAGAGGGAGAGGGGGGGGGGGGCAACATACGGTGCTCACTACCTTGCCGGACTTGTTGATGATAGTGACGGTCTCTGTGATAGTCATCCTGGTTGTCTGCCGTGCTCTGTGCGCGGTATTATCGAATTTATGTACCTGCTGCAGATACTGGCTTTGCTCCTTTGTTCAGGGGCCCGCAATTTGTCTCTCTCGTCTCGTTTCTTGTGTCGCTACAATTGCGGTGAAGATGTATCCACCGAGTTTCCAACCACCACTCGCAGACCCCAGGACCATGGAACCCCTTCCCTCAAGATATACAAAAAGGGGTGGAACGATTCTCTGTCCTTATAACCCAGCAAAAGACTTCCTCCGCCTGCGGAGAGCAGAGGACGTAAAAGTTCGTCGTCGAAGGATGGGGAGAGAAAGCAAAAGGTGCGGCGACCTCTTATCGCGATTGGCCTGGCGGGGGCAACGGATCCGCGGGAACAGAGCGTTTGACTGGCGCGGCGTCCAAAGGATCCCCGAAGCTATTCGCGCATTGATGCCGGGCGAGAGAGGCACCGGATATCGTGTCACATTGTTTGAGGTCGGGAGATCCGAAGGATGCTGTGGTTATTGCATTGGTGCCGTTGCTCCACCCCATGAGTTGGCGCCTATGGGCCAGCGACAGCGAATTGATAGCGGGCCGTCCCCTCGCCAATGCCCGCTTCTCCAGGTTTCAGTTGTGGCGATTGCTTCACGATGACCCTTTTACTCACCTAAGGGGTCAATAATTAATAACATCACAAATGATATCATGTATACAAATGCATAAGTTGAGATTCAGTCTCGGTTAAACAATCAGTGACAACATCCGTTGCTTCGTGGAAGGGGGGCAGGAGAGAGACTGGTGAAGAATGAATGTTGGGTCCTGGAGTCGAAAGCCAGGGTTTATAACAGCCTAACGCACGTTCATACGATCTGCATAAGTTGGGCACTGGGAGTCTGCCCTGCTGGATGGATGGCTCCTAGATAAACTGCCCAGGAGTTGGACGCGCATACATGTTGGAGTTGAGGCTGTACGCAATATGTTGGTCGTAGCAAGGGACGTGGATGTGGGTTTTGCTTGGGAGAAGGACCGTGTTAGATGGAGAGAGGCGACCGACACGGTATAGGTGAGAGAGTAAAGTATGGGATTATTTATTGGCTTATAATACTCCATGAATCAACCTTTTTAGTCGTGCACCATTATCCCCAACGCGAATAGAAACAGATTGGGAGAGACGTAAAAGCACGATCGAAAAGCAGACAAAATAGAAGACCATATCCGACTTATCCATCTTTCCCATATCCCACTTATCCATCTTTCCCATATCCCATCAAAGAAGTACCGCCAGTGATAACATAGCCTAGAGAGATCTCGGGAGGGCGAGCTGAGCAGCTGGTATGCCTCAAACAGAGAAAGGAAAGCAAGTTGCTGGTTGTACAGACGTTGGCAAAGCCAGAGAACTCCTTAATTGCGCCGTGGACCGGAGTCGAATGTAAAAGAGACCGCAAATACTGTTGGTGACCATGTGAAGACCGAGACAAGGCTTCTTCCATCATAACATCGATCATCTAATTGGAAAAGCCCAATTCAGATATCGTCATCAACAAACAGCCTGTTACGATAAGGCCTGGATTCTTCCGCCGCAGTGTACGACGACTGCTCGCTGTGAATCGGCTCGTCGGCGGGGTGGTCGTAGAGTTGGTCGATGTCCATGGCATCAGGGTTGATGCCAAGTTCCTCGACCAACTTCGCCAGCCGCTCAGCAGCATGGCTGAGCTTCATTTTTTCGGCCTGTAGCGCCGCACGCTGGGCGGCCTCGCCGTGGTCTTCGACCATCAGGTTGCGGCATTTAATTTCACCTGTTATATCATTAGCACGTTTAGGAGATACATTGTGCCAGGGTAGTATGGATTTACTTACCATCTCCCGTGTTGAGATCGAGGTAATTCTCGAGCAGATGGGGGATTTCTAAGTGGATCTTTCGAAAAGTATTCCCCAATATGCTCTGACAAACATTGTCGGCAAAACGGTGACCCGCGGTCTTATAGTAACCGCGGACGTACGCCGCAGTCTCGATCTCTAGTCCGAATGGATCAGGTCCCAGCTGCTCATCCGTCACTGCTTTCTCTTGTTGTATTTTGGCAGTTTCGGTCAAGGTCTTCTTCGACAGATAATTCTGTCGTTGGACATAGCAAGATACTCGTCTTTGCCTTCGCTTCTCTTTCAGGAGATTCAGCTCTTCAGTCTTGTACCTAATGAAGTCCTCATTGTTGACGGTAAACAACTTGTAGGTCTCAAGAGCGTAGAATTCTTCGAGGATTCGACGCTGCTCCGCTTGATGCTGCCCCAGGAGCTCCAAGATTTTTCTCTTGGATTTTCTAAACAAATCTGTCTGTTTGTATTGTCCAAGGGAGCTTTCCATAGCACCCATTATAGCTGTTTGTAGCATATGAAATGTGGTGTCTGCTAGCTTTTTGAGGGGTTGGTTCCAAGATTGGATGCTCAGAAGGCAGATTTCTTCACGAGCGGCGTCTGAGACATTGTCTGGATGGCCGGGGCGTCTATGCTTTGAGATGACTCTCCGGACTTCTGCAATGGTCATGAATCTCTTGCCAGCGTTGAGATAGGCGTCGAAGGGAGTCGATCGTTTCTTCGAAGTGTTATGTCGAGGTATTGATGGGCTTATGTTACTTGAACCCTCTTCGACCTTGGGCTTAAAGCTTCCCATGAGATTTTGGCGCTTTGCACCTGGCGAGAATGGATCCTCATTTGCACGTTTGTATGGTGAAGCCTGCGTGGATGACATCTTGGAGTTATCTGAGTCATCGTCGACATTAATGATCTCAGGAAAGGTCTGGTCAGATCCGTCAGTGATGATGAACATTGGCTTGATCTTTTGGATTGCGTCCGCAAAATCGATGCTAAGCTGAGACCAATCACTAAGGAATTGATTCTGATCATGACCACCCTCTAAAATGTCTCGCACACCGTTGCTAAATTCTTGAAGACATTGCCGCACAACATGCTGGACGTTGTCATTCGGCAATTCGGGAAGGCGGCTCAGTTGAGCGTTAACGTGTTGTGCTTGGGCCTTTATTTTCTCATCAATACTCGGCATACTATATCTCGTCAGATTGGTTCAATTCGGAGGTATAGAGATAGGCCCTACCTTTGCGCGATTAGACGCGCAAACTCCTGAGAGAGGTATGCTTGTATTGCTGCCGTGCCACACCGATTTCTGTAATTCTTCCATTCACCAGTCCACCGAGGGTCTGTGTTAAAGAACAACTCTTCTTCTTCTCGTGCTTGAGAATGGTAGTCTCTCTGTGCTAAGAACCCAGGGCCAGGCTGCTTCGTCACGAAATATCCCCTTGGTAAACTATGCGTCATGCCTTTCAGTATCGCATCGTAGTCCCTATGTGTTGAGCCCTCTTGTAGGCGATCCGGCATGGTCAGAACTCCGATCGTCCTCTTCTCAGCCTTATGGTATTCGATGATTGCCCTGGTCCTTGAGAGGCCGGGGTCATTTGCCATAGTCATCGCGCAGATGACAAGCGCATTTTCGTGCCTGATGTACTTCGCCGCGAGATTTTCGAAGACCTTGATAAGATACTGCTCGTCTTTCGTAGCTGCGCTAACGAATATGCCTGGCAAATCGTAAAATGAAAGTGCTGGAAGTCCTGGACCAGATATTTCAATTGCGACGATGTTCGGACTGAAATCGGCTTCGTGTTTGTAGTCTTGCTCCAAACCATTCTGAGCAATGGCACCGGTGCCTGGAATAAAGGCATGGTAATCCTGATTAGGGTTTAACAGTGCAATTTGGGCCCAACGAAGAATATTCTCAAGCTCAGCTTTGTCCGCAATAGTCTTGAAGGGACGAACATTAATTCCATCGTTCGCTCTCCACGGGGGGAAAGGCTGTGCCTTTGTTGGCACCCGCCGCATATCATTCGAGTACCAGTAGTACTCGTGCAATGACACAGTACAGCTCCAAGTCTCTGCAGGAGACGTTTTGATATTGGCTGGACACCTGGTACACATCCCCGTATCTTTGGGGAGGTTGATTTCTGCTATGGCGCCCATCAATGTAGACTTACCCGCGCTTTGGTCCCCAACAAGGACAAGCTCGGGAAGCTCGGTATCAATCTCTTTTAAACCCAGCTTCCTGAGTTCCTCGATTGCGTTCACGAGGAGATTCACCTTCTGGCCGACTATTTGTAGGCTTGCGCCAGGGATTTGGGGAGCCATAGAAGGTTGAGGTGGGCTATGATGCGCGTCTCTGGTTGGTATCTGCAGAGAATTCATCTCGAATGCTTTTATGAATGTCAATACTGCTAAACCAAATATATGTGAGTGGAATTTCGGGACTTACGTAAAGCTGAGCGCAGATCTATGACCTGAGTTTGGTATTTGTCTTCTTCCTTCTTGGGGGTGATCGTGCCAGCTGTTGAAAAGGATTCGTTAGGCGTGATCAAGCCGCTGTATGGGATAGATCGATTTGGGGCTCTATCTCCCATGTTATGCAGAATTGAGTCAAAGGTCTGGGTACAAAAAGCTTGTCAGTACTTGGAGAACAAGCAGGAAGGTAAAAGATAAATGGGGTTGATTGTAACATGAGGTAATGGGTATGGGGCAACAAGAGAGGGTGAATGACAAGTGGTTGCGAAATGTGGTGATCGAACTTGGAGGAAGTGACGGGAAGAGATAGAGAGACTGTAGGCTTTGACTGCAGAAGTATTGCGGTTGAAAGGTGGGATGTAGGATCTGAAAGCCGAGAGAAAGAAGAATACTTGAATACCTGTAGTAGGTTCTCAGATCTAGGGAAAGAGCTTGTAATGGATGAGTGGAAAGAAAGGAGGAGTGTTGGAAGTTGAAGGTGAACGAAGTACGTGTGGTAAGAGGAAGAGTTGGGGAGGGTAGAAGAGATCTCGAACCAAGAAGAGATTCGGTGACGGATAAGCGAGACTCGATGAATTAATTCACTGAGAGTTGAGGGTGAGATGTTGTCGTATGGGAGTTAGATCGGGGTAGAATAAAACTAAGAGGTTGGCAAACTGCCTGTGTCGGATAGCAAAGTCAAAGATCCAAGAAGCAACCTACGGAGTATAAGTAGGTAGTAAAAGGAAGGTATATCTAACAAAAGAAGCTCTCTTCTCAAGAAACTGTATTCCTTATATACTTTGCTAAAAACACGAAATCTTTGGGTCACGAATGAACACGTCCGATTCCTCGTTCAACTTCCTTGAGAAAGGGCAATCTCTTCACGCGTCGCCAAACGCCCAATTCAAGGGGAAGCGGAAGTGCGTGCATATCACATAGCCCCTAATTCTCTTGTTCTCCAATCAAGAGAACCAAAATACTTCAGCTGGGGCCCCTCGCATCTGATCAGCGAGGGCACGATTCGCGTCTATGTTGAGCCTCCTTGTGGCTCTCCCTCCACTTCACCCCTCAGATAAGCGAGCGCGGGACTCCACACCAAAACTCTATCTCGACAGTGAACTTCTGCGAGGACGGCAAGAGAAAAAACAAGACGCGGTAGATGGAAATCAGATGTGACGGAGCTGCAGGTGCGGGGCGGTGTGTTTCACGGGACGGGTTCTCGGCTTGGGGAATTGGAGAAAACTTTCACGGAGGATGCACGCTTCCTTCAGCCATTTTCTATGCGAGAGCAGTGGAGTTCTTGTGAGCAAAGTGTGAATTCCCGTGAGGCAATTCACCGCAGGAGTTTGGGGATGGGGCCAGCCATCTTGCAACCATCTTGGCTGAGGACCTCGACCCTTGTAGCTCCGCAGATCAATCATCACAACTCACAACTACAGCCAATGGAGCTTACCCATCGACGGCTTGATCGCTTCTGGATTCGATTTGAGTTCGGAGTCTTTGCCGTCTTCTGGCTTGAATGTTGCGAGTCAAGGGGTAAAAGTGAGGCGCATTCTCCAGAAAGTTTCATTCTCATTTATCCTGTCAATCCGATCGAGGATTAGGCCTTTCCGAATGTGTTGAAATTGTCATCAGATGGTACTGTAACGTTGTGATGGTGATAAACTGCGACCTTCATACGATGGTGCGCTGAAAATGTCAGCGAATCGGAGGTTTGATCCACGTGATTGTGCTCACATGACATCCGTGCTCGACGCATTCTCCAATATGTACATACATGGATACCTATCGCAGGTTATCGTAGAGTTCCCAAATTGTTCTATGGTTCTTCTAGCTTCAAACCTTCGTATCTCTTGATAAAATTCACGTTTATTTCTTTACAGGTCCAAGTTTCTAACATTTAAGCTCTAGAGACTGAAACTTGGCTAATAGCCATGGTAACAAGAGCTTTGCAGAGCTTTGGATACAGGAGATGAGACATGGAAGAGATCTAGATCTATGTGAATTTGATAGGTTTGAATTCAAATCGAACAAGCAATCACAATTACATTGAAGACATTGAAAACACTTCCATGAGCCTGTAGACCTCTATCCATTGGCTACCCCTGATGCGGCCGCTAGCGGCAAGTGCTTGTCCCAAAATAGTATCTAGGTCTTCGTGTCCATTTCGATCTCAGGCAGACCGCAAAATCCATCGTCCACGTAAACAAAGATGTCTCTTCACATTCCACACCGAGAGAAGCTTAATGGCGCACACGCTGCGACCAAGGCCGTGATTCTGGTAGGCCTGAGCTGCATACTGATGCGAGGGAACACGGGTTGTTGACACGGGCAAACAGGTCGGAGGTCCTTCAAGAGGCACAAGATTCAGGCCATTGTCGCTGGATCTGCCCAAGGTATGGCTCAACATTGTTTGTATCTACTACTAATGCACCAGAAACTAACATTTATCACAGCCTCTCTTCGATGTCGCCGGCCATCCCATTGTCTGGCACTGTCTCACCGCCATAGCGAAGGTACCCCACATCCAAGAAGTTTACATGATCGGATACTACGACGAATCTGTTTTCCGCGACTTTATCAAAGATGCCTCCAAGGAATTTCCCCAGCTTAAAATCCTATACCTCCGGGAATACCAGGCGTTGGGAACAGCTGGAGGACTCTACCACTTCCGCGATGCAATTCTTAAAGGACGGCCTGAGCGTTTCTTCGTTCTCAACGCTGATGTCTGCTGTTCGTTCCCCTTGAACGACATGCTCAAGCTTTTCGAAGAGCGCGATGCGGAAGCCGTTATTCTTGGTACGCGGGTCAGCGAGGATGCTGCTACCAACTTTGGGTGTATCGTCTCGGATTCGCACACACGTCGTGTACTTCATTATGTCGAGAAACCCGAATCGCACATCTCGAACCTCATCAATTGCGGCGTATACCTTTTCTCCACCGACTGCATCTTCCCCGCCATCCGCTCCGCTATCAAAAAGCGCACCGAACGCCCCCGCCTCGTCTCGTACCCCTCCTCCGAAAACCTCGAATCCTCATTCTTCCAGGACGATGAAGAAACGGACAAGGGAAATGAGGTGTTGAGATTGGAACAGGATATCTTGAGTGAATTGGCAGATAGCAAGCAGTTCTTTGTCTATGAGACTAAGGATTTCTGGAGACAAATTAAGACAGCTGGCAGTGCCGTTCCGGCTAATGCGCTGTATTTGCAGAAGGCGTGGCAATCCGGCTCCACCGAGTTGGCCAAGCCTTCTGCGAATATCCTTCCTCCTGTTTTCATCCATCCTACAGCCCAAGTTGATCCTACTGCCAAGCTAGGCCCCAATGTCTCGATTGGCCCAAGAGCCGTCATTGGTGCTGGAGCTCGGGTCAAGGAGTCGATTGTCCTCGAGGACTCGGAGATCAAGCATGACGCCTGTGTTCTATACTCAATTATTGGATGGAACAGCAGAGTCGGAGCCTGGGCTCGTGTTGAGGGGACCCCAACTCCACTGAACAGTCATACGACGAGTATTGTCAAGAACGGGGTCAAGGTCCAAAGCATCACGATTCTTGGGAAGGAGTGTGGCGTTGGTGATGAGGTTCGCGTGCAGAACTGTGTGTGTTTGCCATTCAAGGAGTTGAAGAGGGTATGCTAAGTTCCTTTCCCCTTCGCTGATCCGTGGCTTTTGCTGACGTCCATGGCAGGATGTCGCGAATGAAGTAATAATGTGAATACCCTCAAGTGTTCATACCAGGCAGAAGGGCGGAGGAATTTTACTATTGGCGTTGTTGCTCAGCTTTGACTGCACTTGTCTCGGATCGTATGCTTACTCTTGGGCGAGAAGACTTGAAAGTGCTTCAGATAGGTATGCAAGGCCCCAGCTTAATTATCATTGCTCTTCTTCATTTCGACTCTCTCGCCTTGCCCTCTGCCTCTCAAGGTCCTCCAATCCCTCAAGTGATTTAGATTAGACCTTCAATCCCCGGAGCCTTGATACATACCTACAACACACCGCTACATGTATGCACGCAGAATATCCAGGAGAGGAGGCTCCGACGTGTCAAAACACACAGACCACGTCGGTGCCCTATCGGCACCTTGTCGGTACGTCGGTAATGGATTGGGCACTACCATCGCTCGTAGTAGTAATCGACGCTCCGTCCCTCCGGCCCCTCCTAAATAAACTCTCTATCTATTTCCTAGCCTCCTCGGACCACAGGGCTGCGAATATGTCAACATGCGGATGCTTAGCCAATCACCGGAACCAGAATATTCTAGACGATGAGTAATCACACCGAATGGCGACTGAGTTTATTCACGCGTGGCGACGCCGCCGACGGTGAATAAGGTAATTAGTCCCAAGCTATTTACATCCTATAGTGCTGGTCCTGAAGACACGTCGTGCGTATTAAGTATGCGACGGTTGCAAAAAGTTTGAGCCCTTCTGGAAGTATATCGCCTGATGATTGGTCACGAGCGCGAATTCAGAATGTCATTGGCTCGCTTGCATGGGTAAGGGGAGAGTTCTATCGGCGATAAGATAAAATACCCTTGAAAAAAAGCCCCTAGAGGCCTAAAGAAGGCTTTGCCCCTGGACCTGGACAGAATAACAGATGACATCGGCGTCTGGGATCCACAGATTACAAATGCAGTTACATCACTTTGAGCTTTGAAATCACGACGGATTGAAGAAGTTTAAAACCAGTCTCGTCCCCCTCTCCCTGCAAGCTCCAGATTTGACTTTCTCCAAGCAACTCTTAGTACCTTCAATTCGCAATTCGAAGTTTATACCACAAACCGCAAACATGTCGGCCAACCCTCTTGCCAACAAGGCTGCCCCAGGCGTATGGGAACCCCTCCATCATCTCCCAGTTGCTCTGAATTAACACGCTGGATGTAGATCCCCTACTTCACGCCTGAGCAGACCATCCCCAGCGGAACTGCGTTGGACCCCCAGCCCGACAACAAGCCCATCCCCAAGCTGTACACCCCATTGAAGCTGAGGGGCTTGACCATGCAAAACAGAATCATGCTCAGCCCTCTCTGCCAGTACTCTGCTGAGAACGGACACCAGACCGCATGGCACATGGCCCATCTCGGAGGTATCATCTCCAGAGGTCCTGGATTGGCCATCGTTGAGGCTACTGTTTGTTCACCCCCTCTCATAGGCCCCACCAAGGTGCTAATAGGATCTAGGCCGTTGTCCCTGAGGGACGTATCACACCCGAGGACTGCGGTCTCTGGCAAGACAGCCAAATCGAGGCCATGAAGAAGATCGTTGACTTCGCCCACTCTCAAAACCAGAAGATCGGTATCCAACTTGCCCACGCTGGTCGCAAGGCCTCCACCGTTGCCCCCTGGATCTCCATGGGCGCAGTCGCTACTGAGGACATCAACGGCTGGCCCGACAACATCAAGGCCCCCAGCGCCATCCCATACAGCCACCGCCTCGGCAACCCCAAGGAGATGACCCTCCAGGACATCGAGGACCTCAAGACCGCTTGGGCTGCTGCCACCAAGCGCGCGCTCGCCGCTGGCTTCGACACCATCGAGATCCACAACGCCCACGGCTACCTCTTGCACAGCTTCGTCTCCCCCGCCTCCAACCACCGCACTGACCAGTATGGTGGCTCCTTTGAGAACCGCATTCGTCTCAGTCTTGAGATCGTTGACATTACCCGCTCCATCATCCCCAAGGACATGCCTCTGCTCTTCCGTATCTCCGCCAGCGACTGGCTCGACACCAACCCTGAGTACAAGGGCGAGAGCTGGACGATCAACGACACCATTAAGCTTGCCAAGATCCTTGAGCAGCGTGGCGTTGACCTGATCGATGTCTCCTCTGCCGGTCTCAGCCCAATGCAGAAGATCACCACCGGCCCTGGTTACCAGGTCCCCTTCGCCAAGGCTATCAAGAAGGCCCTTGGCCCCAACAGCACCCTGAAGGTCGGAGCTGTCGGCTCTATCCTTACTGGTAAGCAGGCACAAGCCATTGTCAGCGGTAAGGGCGAGGAGGCCAGGGGTGAGGAGGAAGTCGACGTTGCAGTTGTTGGCCGTATGTTCCAGAAGAACCCTGCCTTGGTCTGGACCTGGGCTGAGGAGCTGGGCGTCTCCATCAACGTCGCCAACCAGATCCGCTGGGGCTTTGGAGGCAGACCAGGAGCTCACTTCGAGAACCCCAAGGAGAAATAAATGAAATATTGATAGATGAGAAATGAAGGGACGGGATATGACTAGATGGGAAATTAAATAAATAGCGGAATTAAAAGTTCAGCCATTGCACAACTACTGTACCTCCTGTGATACTCTGGTGAGGGAACAAGCCATCATGGTACCTAATGCTTCTGGTAATCAAGGGGAGATCCTTCAGCCTCGTCACTAGGATGGATCATAGACGTATTGAAGCAAGACTCCTCGATACCCAAGGTCTCCGAGACTGTGCGCCAGTTTCAGGACCAGATTGAGACTTCCCCTCGTCAAGCCAAAAATCAATCACACAAGTTAATCACTCGTCCAGTCCAATCTCACCTCGTATCCTGATAATCGGCATCTCCAGCACGTGGCATGCGTTGCTCGTCCATAAGCAAACCAGCCTCGCATTTGTAATGTCGAGCACATTTGTAATATTCGCAACTAGAAGAGGTGTTTTAGATTCCTTTTCGCCACTCTAAGATCATATTGGAGAGACGGCTCCGGAGCGGAATAGCAAGGCTCCATTAGCTCCCGTTCAGAACTTTTCGACTTGCGTTAGTAGCAGGCGGCTGACTACGAAAAGGGTGGAGATGCGCCGGGGCTGAGGAAGAGGCTGATGGATACCCGAGGTCGGTTGGCTTGGAGCCCATCTCGGGCTTCGGTTGCGGCGGCTTTTTCGATCAGAGTCATATGCGATGAGGCATGGATGTTTGGATATTTGGATGGTTGGCGTAATGCTGGATTCGGGGTCTGCGGCTGTTGATTTGTGACAATTGAGATGAGAGGACGTTCAGCGAAGACAGGGAGGAGATGGGGCGTGGTCGTCATAAGCGCTTAATACGGCGGTCCACTGACGACAATGGCGCGTTCGCTTAATCGTTAGTTCTTCCGCCGGGGGCCCCTTGACCCTTTCACCCGCTCAACTCGATAAGCCGTGGGGGCCCAGGTCGATACTCGCAGGATGCTCAACAGACAACTTGTGATTCGGTTGATACAGGAGATTACTCTGTATGGTTGGGATCTTCAGCTTCTTGAAAGGAGCTGCCCTTCGAGCAATAGATATCCCTGTGATATTGGATCGTCTCCCGAGTCTCCCAGACTCCCTCATGCTCAAGTCCCACGCAGTAGCAATAGCATGGTGTTTGTTCAAGAGGAGAATAGAGAATCGAGTGATTGAAACAAGAGCCATAGTAGTTTAGATGCTTGTTACCTATGTTCAGGGCAATGCATGAGATCCGGGACCAGGAGGCCATATATTGACCGGCCAAGCAGGCAAGACGGTACGCACGTGGTTGCCAGTGCACTCACGTGGTGCGGGGATCATCTGATCAAAAGGGACCCGGCAAGAGAAAGCCTGCTGCAGTGCTGCTCCCCCCGATTTGCAATTTCTCCACTGCGCAGAGGTCGACTGCAGGTCATTCCATCCATCACTCAGAACGCAGAATCCTGCTCAAGTTGGGGATGCGAGGCTGCGGCACCAGCCACAACTGTTGGCTCTTGTCAAGCCACACCTTCTCGCAAAGCAAGCGATCTCATTGGCGGGGAATGATCCGTGCGTCATGGTAAGGCTGATGAAGGACTCCAACGGGCCAACCAACAAGTTGCAAAGTTCATAGCCTGGCTACATCTGACAGGTTGGTTGACCTTTCACTGCGGCTGTCTCCAAAATCTTCAGCTGCGGCAGGGTTGCTCTCCAATTGGGATTCTTTCCTCGCTTTTTCCATTCTGATCCTGCTCTTCCCCGTGGCGGACATGGCGATTCCAACGGTGCTATTCTGCAGCCCCTACTAGAACCAACAAATGGGACCCAGCGGCCACATTATAACTGCTCCCTCCGCCGCAACCCCTATATGGAAAAACAAATTCATGCCACCCACATTCTGTCCAGATTCTGCCCGCGTTGTAGGCAGAAAAGTAATTCTCCTCTCAACCAGTGACTCGCAAAAGGACCTATACCAACATTTCATGGGACCGGGGACCTTGTGACCTCACAAGTCTGTAGGCGGCGGGAACTAAAGGACCATGCAGCGGAATGCCGACCTTCTGTGTAGAGCGGGTAGGGCTGTTACGACGATACTACAAAAGCTGGTTTGTCCTCCTTTCGAGATAGCAGGTTCAACAGCGATATCAAGCTCTGCTTCTCGAGACCCGTGACAAGCAGCAGCCGTCAGACAGCATCTATATACCCCGTTAAACCCTCTCTCAACCTCCGCGTGTCTCTCGGAAACCAGATAGGTAGCCTTCAAGACGACCTTTGCACATATCATCACCTTTACCATCGATCACTTGCTACATTCGCTCTCAACCGCCTCCTTCAGCATCCTAGATCACTCGTTACCATTTCATCGCTGCTCGTCCTGCTTTGACAAGATGTCCCAAAGCTCCGACTTCGACCACAGTACCGAGGAATGGGAGGCACAAAGGGAGCTCTTCACCCACTATTACGTGATAGAGGACAAGCCCCTCTGGGAAGTGAAGAGCATCATGGAAAATACCTACGGGTTCCGAGCCACGTGCGGCCCCATCACTGCCTCCTCTCTGCATAATCTAACAATTGACAATCAGCGAACGGCAATACAAACGACGCATCGCCCTCTGGAACCTAGACAAGAACATCAGAGACTCCGAGATGAAAGCCATGCTCCGCCTACAGGTACAGCGCAAGAACGAGCAGGGCAAGCAGAGTATATTCTATATCCACGGCCGTCCGGTGGAGAACAAGAAGCTAGAGCGATACGTGCGTCGCAAGGGCTTGAGCGAGGCTGATATCATGGCGTGGAATGCCCGTGCGTCCCGCTCTCCCCTCCTATACCAGACCTTTTACTTATTTTGTTTCTCATCTAGCCGTTCCCCCCTACATTACATGTCAGACTCCCCCGCCCGGGACGGCAGGGGCACAGACAGCAGGATCTCAGGGAGCAGGATCTCAGATGGGAGAGAGTAGTCAGAGTGGAGCCGCGGGTCAATACAACACTTCTTTCTCTTCTTACCCTTCCTCCACCTCCACCTACCGCTACCCTTCCCAGTACTACCCCTCCTTCTAGACATTTTTGGACCTTGGTGATGAAGCTGCTCTGCGGACGCGGAATTTTATTTTAAATTCACAAGAGTAGGAATCGAGGGTTTCTTTCCATCTCTTCTTGTTTGAATATATACCTGTTCAACACAGTAGAACTTTTTAACTCGATGTATGCTTTTGTTTCTTTCTCTTCTTCCATTTTCGTGATATTTTAATGCTTGCTGTTTGTTGTTATATGTGGCGATGAATCGTTGAGTAGTTTTGCTTTTCAGCAGGTCAGCTATAGCATGAACATAGCTAGCTACTCGCACTCTCGCACTTCTACTTCGCATGTGTTTTGTTCTCATGGTTATGTACGGCTCCGTTCCATATATTTCGTATACGTGTTCTTTCTAAGATAAAAGACACAAAAGCTCTAATCGCGACGCTGAGAGGTGATGGATTAGTTAGATCTACATCACCGTGACCTGACTTGCGGGAGAAAGCTCTCCTGGTTTCTCTACTCGTTCGAAAGATGTTATCTGTCTATTATTCGTCCCTGTCTCTCTGTGAATTGTTTATTGATTTGAATCAAACCTTGTATGTTGTTGCAAGGTAATGATATGCAGATATCATGATGCATATCTATCTATACTAGGCGAGTAGAGTACCTTACCTTACACAACGGGGATTATAGGAACTAATAGCATAATGTAAAGGTGCAAGTCCTGGATTATCACCAATTATCGTAGGACAAGAAGCTGCCGAACATCCTCTGATATAGACTTATACCTCATATTGCTGCCTAAGCTAGTGCTGTTCTTCTAAGGCTGTCATGTTGATTGAGTAGTTTGGGGATCGCTGTGCTTCGGCGCCTTCGCGTTTCTGGTAAATTTCCAGCAATTTGCCATTGTACATGCCACAATATGTGGCTCTAAAGAAGAACACAGGATAGAGAGTACTGTAAATTAGAGCAAAGTATCCTGGAGTCTTTCATTCTTCCAGTTCCTTTTCATCTTCAGCCAATCCTTCATCCCATAGCGTCCATTTCTCCCAGCGGGATAGTAATTCCAACGTCTCAGTCTCCTCAATTGAAGATGCTCATTGACGAGCTCTTCTGCACTCTCCGTTAAGTTACCCATTCTGAATAAAATTTCGTCCTCATTCGCTTACCCCCTTTTCTCTTTCGACCTACTTGCGCCAGTAAATTGTAATGAAGTTTACTACGCAACAACACGCCCATAAGAAGGCATATTCTCCCAATTTCTCTATTTACATTCACATGCACGTCCAAGGGACCAAAACCGTGCTGCAAAATCCAAGCCTAAATCAAACTCCTCCAATTCTATCCATCAATCTAAACCCCCTCCCCTTTCTTTAGCGATCATGCAGAAATAGGGGGGAGGTGGTCCGTCCGATCTATTTTAAGATTTCTGCATTTTACGTTACTAGCGCTTACTTCTACGTCACATAGGTACCAAGTCAAATAGGTACTTCCCCATCATTTATCCCGTTCCCGAACTACATCACTAACTAACTATAACCATGGTCCATGAGCATACCAAGACTCCAAATTCCAGCTTTTCCTCCACTTCCCCCTGGAGCTCTGTCTCAAGACCTGGCGCTTCGCCTGCCTCATCCCGCAACTCAGCACTGACGGCCATCCCATAGCGAGCCATCCGCACGCCATCCTCACACGGCACGGGACGCACATCAGCGACGTGCAACGGGTAAGTAAGTGCACACCTCCCGCGGCACTCAGCGTATGTAGGGAGTCATGGGGCGAGGCTCTGCAGGTATTTAGGTCGCGGTTTGAGCTGCTGGTGAGTTGGGGCCAGGATGTGATTTATATAAACCCCGTGTCTGGATACGATGTATGAGAATTTCTCGTACCCTCTCCCCTGACCGAGCCCCCCTATACGCATGAGTTTATAATTCTAGAGCTTTGACTTTGTTTCGATTAATGTCTCCCTTAAGTCTTGAGAGGTATCAGTGTGTGATATTAACATATTGTAAATTACTTACTAGTCCCTTAAACCTCCCTTCCTTCGCAAAAGTACAGTTCTCAACTAGATAAGGATAATGTCTATAGCACAACCCAGTAATCCTTTCCGCTTCTGTTTGACAGCCAAGACTCTCATGCCGAGTAATTCGCATGGCCTGTTTCAGCGAGGAGTCACGAGAATGCAGAACCAATGTGTAAAAAGTAAGAATCGTCTATATTCTTGCACGAAGAGCTACCAAAACTACTAAACCCTATCACCATGGTCGCAAGACCATATGTTTCCCCGTCCCAATAAACGTTTCCGTCTGCGATAAAGCCACTCTGTCCCTCGTAGCCTTCTCTACCTTCCGTTCCCAAGCCGGAGAGAGTTTCGCCTTGTAGTGCAGCCACAGCTGTGGCATGAATTGGACGTCCTGCTGGCAATAGCGCACAATGGCTGGTAGGAGAGGTCGTTGGTTAAAACACTTCGTACGTTCTACCGCGCTCAGGGGCAAATAATCTCAACCCCGCTTCTTTCACTAGTTTGACGTCGCGCATTTCTTGACGGGATGGAGCTGTAGGTCATTAAGGATGTAGTGGTTCAATCCCATGAGGACGTTTCCGGGAGAAGTGCCGCGTTGCTAGTTCCATGAGTTGAAGATCGTGGAGTCCGGCGAGATGGATGGACGCTGAAATGGCTAATGAGGGCGTCTGAGTCGTGATGTCGAAGAAGACTTTAGGGATGCTGCTAGATTCGAGGATATCTCTCGACGTTTGGCCACTAGCCCCGGCAGTAGAGAAGGCTTGGTCCTCAAGCGTATGTATATCGAGAAGAAAGGTCTCTCTCTTCGGGAGAGCACAAGTAACTGAAGGATAGATATAGAGCTGTGTCGTAAAAGATTGACTCCTTCAATATCGATATACAACGATGGCGGATTGTTAGGTAGGTTGAAAAGGCCGTCAACAAAGACTCGGATGGCGTCAACTGTGTCGACGAGATCAGCCATAATACCGTATCCTTCGCCGAAAATTAGTAGTTCTACGGCTACTGGATCACTAGGGAGACAGTTAGGAAAAGGAAAGGCATGACTCCGTGAGATACTAGCCTCAACTGAGCAAATTGAGGTATAACAGTTCCTGTAGCGGATAGGGCAGAGAAATATAGAAGGCTCGCGAGACCGTGGTTGAGATAGGGAGATGAACGCCAAAGACTTGAAAAAGTGGCTTGTCGATGCTGAGCAACGATATTTTAGAAGAGGGGAAAATAACTGACCTTATAATAATTTCAGTCATTTGTTTGGGGACCCATGGGTTGGGTCCCATTCATTCCAACAAGCCCCATGGGGTGGGTACCCAGTCATTTCGTGGGGACCTATGGGTTTCTGCGCAGTCTAACCTTATCTACACAAATGTGCACCGCCATTAAAAGAGAGTGATAGCAACAAACAATCTCTGAGTTCCGGTCCAAATGGCCATGCATTTCAGTACAAGAGAGGACTCCCGCATGCTGACATGCTTTAGAATGAAGCAGCCGAGTCCATTGGGGCCAGCCCGAGACCTATCCAGTCTCACATTTCCAATGCAGCAAAGGTAACCAATAACAGTCAATGACCAGGGTCTACAGCAACCACTCGGTGTAGACCCCTACTCCAAGCCACCACCTATTGGGGAACGCCAGCACAGCAGTAAACAACAAGGTCATTGATACAAGGCTGAAGGAGCTCAATAATACTGCAAATCATAGATCTTCCCCTTACACCCTTAGGGTGCTTTATTGCTCATGGAATCGGACATACTCCCTAGCACCCGAGAGGAGAATACTTGAGAGGGTACTCACCTGAACGCGGGACTTTTGCGTTTCGACATCGATAAAGACAGGCTGGGGCGGCGCTGGGCAGTGTTGATTTATGTAGATTGCGAACTGAAACTCGGATTGCGAAAGCGTAAAGGAAGAGGGTATCTAGAAGCCACAAAACACCATCAGAATATCAACCTTCGGTGACTGGCCCTAAATGAGAATTCTTGAGATCGCCTGGCTATTCATCTGAGTGTATTCTCACTTGTTCTTTTCACTCTGATGTATTCAGATCAGCCCACTCTTCTCATCCAACCAGTCCCGAACATCGTATTCCTTGCCCTCTCCCTCATACGCTTCCAGCCCGCTATGCTGTCCCTCTTTCCAGACCCGCATCACTGCCTTGCCGTTCTTGCCCACTGCCGCCCGGAACATACCGCCGCAGTTATAATCGTAGACAATATTGCTGGTCGCTCGTTTCACCTTCTCGCCATCCTCGTCTGTGACTACCGTTAGTTCGATACCAATGATGCCTCCTTCCCCCTCTCCCGTCTTGCGCCAACGGTCCCCGGCGCTCTTCACGAGCTCGCCACCCGGGCCGGTGATCTCGGTCAGCGCAGCTTGGAGCGGGGCGGGACGGTAGCGGGCGATGGCAGAAGCGGTGCGGACGGCGGCCAAACGGAGGAAGGAGTCGCCATTCCCGGTGCCGGACATGCCTGTTGAGCGGAAGACGCGGTCGCCGCCCTTGCGGAGAGGCTCTCCGGCCAGCAGAGGAGTGTACGTGGTGAGACTCGGGAAGCAATCGGCTATGAGACCCTTCAGGGTGTCACTCAAGATTAGTTGTGGTCCAGGTGCTCGAGAGAGAGCTTCGGCGTGAGAAGATGTCTCTTCCCACTCCTCTGCCCAGAAGCCCGCTCCCAACGTCGGTGTATCCCCGATCCTCCCTGTCAATTTGTTCGTCATGCCCCCTGTACTCGTGCCTGCGGCTATCACGCCCTCTGCGTCCAGCGCAACGGCACCACATGTCCCCTGAGGGAAAAAGTGCTCCTGATCCCACGTCGCGACTCCCTCGCCCCGCCCCTCCTTTTCCAGACCCTTCACATGTTCATCCCACCGCGCCTGAACGAAGAAGTAGCTCGGGTCCACAATCTCCAGCCCCCACTCCTTCGCAAGCCTCTCCGCGCTGACACGATGCAATTGCGAATGTCCTTGTGCACCCGTCCCTGCGAAGGCCATGGGTCCTCGATGCTCGCCGTTGCCGCCTTCTAGGTCGTGCTCGCCGCGCAGGAGCATCTCGCGCGCGAGCTTGATGGGGTTCTTGACGTGCTGGAGACCCATGACGCCCACGCCTCGCTTCTTCTTACCTTTGGATACCATGACGGAGGCTTCGAGCTCGTTGATGCCATCACGGGTGAAGACGGCGCCGTGGCCGGAGTTGAAGAGCGGGTTGTCCTCGAGGAGCGTGATGGCATATGTTACGGCGTCTAAGGCGGAAGTTGGAGAGTCGGAGGAGGGTTGGGTGAGGAATTGGTGGGCGGAGCAGAGAATGCGGAGGAGGGAGTCATGGTACTGTTTGTATTTTGCGGGGGGGAGATTGGAGGGGAGGATGTTGCCTGCACCACCGTGGACGATGAGACGAGGGATTATAGGGGAAGTTAATTGTGATTTATACTCCATAATTGTTAATAAGTAAGGATTGGATTGAAGAAGCGCGCTGGACGAAGGATTGGGGTTCTCAAATGATGGGTTCTGTTCTGTTGTACGTCGGCGCTTCGACTCGCGCGGAGTGATCCGAGTAGGGCCGGAGCTTATCGCTATCTTATCAGTAGAGCCTCATATCCAAGAGATCATCAGGCATCAATCCCATGGTGATTAGTATCTGTTTATCAGCGAAGGAAGCATTGTGAACGAATATTTGCATCAGCGCCTCCTCTCCTTGAGAACGTTAATCTAGTTTCTTCAGATACAGGTCTGTCCCGTCACATCGCACATTGGATCCTCCTGGCATCAGGGAACCAGGGGTCCTTGTCTGCTGTCAGAAAGCACCTGCCACCTGGTACTCTCGAATAATCACCTTCCGAAAATGGATTCCTTCTCTGTGAAAGGATATCCGAGGACAGAAGCCCAATACCGATTCCAATCCGAACCCTGAGAGAAGTGTCCCAGCGCCGCTCGGTATGTTAACGTTATCGCAGCCCGAATTCTACTATCACAGATGCCCAGCTGAACTAAGATGACGAAGGTAAAGCTTGAGTGGGTGTACTTGAACACCCCGCCTAATAGCTCCTGATTATAGCATGGCGCCGGTCTATATATAAATGTATTGAAGACGCTATGGCTGTATGCCGGTCTCGTAATTACTGCCTATATGGAGGATCGTACAGTGGTAGCAAAGACTTTAATCTGGCAGGTCTCTCTGCAAGAGGGATAGGAAGGTCTCTCGTTCCAGTTGCTGATCCTCTGTCTGCAGGGCCTCCCAGTATCGTGTCCCAAGAATGTGGCTGATGGAACGGCAACAGAGAGCGAACGAGGCAGCGTATGCAATTGGCAGAAAAAGAATGACGTATCATGATCTCAGGATGAAGTTTGCTAAGGATAGATGATTCTGCTCGCTCGATGCCCACAGCCTCCTCCGCGTCTGAAGAGCCACGATTAAGTCTTGGGAAGAGCGTAGCGAGCAGTACAAAAAAGCACATTGCAGCTGTGGCGTAGAGCCAACTATCCCCTGCAAGAGTCTTAAAGAACAAAACTTTTAAGAGTTTGAGGATTTGAGGAACGATATGAGGAGCGTAGTGATTGAAGTCGGGGAAAGAGTTGGTGAAAGAAACCCGAGAAATAGGGCATAATAAAGGTGAGCAAAGGAATATCACTCGGCTTTTAACGAGTGATGTCAGAAATCGGTTTTGAGCCTCGTGAACTACAGTACCATAAGATCATAAGATGTAAGCTATGGTAAGATAATATGCTACTTACCCTTCCTTACCCAGCTACTTTTCGGACCGTGGCAGAAGCCGAGCGGGAGGGTGTTCCGGGCCGAGGGGACGGTTAGGCCCCGTCGCCAAGCACCGGGCCATCCCCGCCATCGAAACATCATCCTGGACGCCACCAGGGCTGCTTGGCCTGTACGGAGCAGTAGCTAATGTTCGGTTTGCTCTCGCTGTATTTGTAGACAACTGCCGTTCATTGTGCAATCGTATTTTCGTGCCGGTTAGGGCAATGTTTCCTATCCTTAATGCTTCCACACTCTTTCAAGTGCGCATTAAACGAGTCGACATTAAATCTCCGTCTGAAATACATAGGTTTATTGCGGTGGGCATTGTAGGACCCCTCGCACCCAACGCAAAAGGAGCCTAGCTCTATATCTTGCGTGGTTCGGTTTAGCCATGGCATGTGAACGATGGCCATAAAACGCAATGGATTATCAGATTCCCTGTCGAAAGGACCTTCAATCCGAGGGCGACGTGTAGTTGATGACCCAGATAGACCTGCAGACCGTTGTGCTAGCCTCACCTCGTACCGTAGCATTTTTTGACCGGCGATGTCCCACGCGTGATCTTCCATGGCAGCGACGGACCCGTGTAGTGCAATACCCGCACGACGAGCAGACTCAGGGTCTACCAAAGTAAGTCGCTCGCGACATTTCTTCGGGTTGTTTGCATATTTGCCCGGTATGCTCCTCATTCGTGGTAAAGTGTTGAGAATTGAACGGTCAAGTCCGAATTTCTGAGTCGCATGGATAAATCGTAGTGGTAGATACGCTTCTGCTTGGGTAAAACAGAGGAAGCAGACACGTTTGCAAGTCAGAATGTAGAGGTAGGCGCCAAAATCACCACATCGCTCGCATTGGGCAGTGCAAAGTGTCGCATAAAGGTCCTCGCAAGTGATCCACCGGCCTGTTTCGATGCTCAGAATGCCACGAAGCGCGTCCCGTGCATGTGAATTAATGGCTTTGAATTGGGGCAGAGATGCTACGAGTTGCAAGGCCCGTTGATTGACGCGTCGAAAATCCGTAAGCGTGAGCAAATCGAGTTGGGGGAGGATGTTATGAAGAATCTCAAGTGGAAGCGTATCGAGGGAGCCGAGACCGACTTTGGGTGATGATGTGCATACATAGCAGTTGGGCTGAGTCGGCAGGTTTTCATCGAGAGAGTAGTCCTTAATCGGCACGGACTTATATGTGAAGTCGCGGAATTGTGCTGTGATCCGTTGCCGTTCTTCCATCTTTATGGAGCAGTTCCTAAGACAAGGTATGGTAGGGGAAGGTGTCGAAGATTGATTGACCTTCGATATTGATTGACCTTGACCGCCGACTTATTAGCGGGATCGTGGAGGAGGCGCGTTAATTGCGGACAACAAGCCTGAACACTTCTAGAAGACCCCGATCCTCAATTGACCAGCTTCTGATGTAGTGGGCGGGCCTGCTGACAGTGTTGTAGAAAGGACCACGGAAGCCGCGCAAGAAGACAGCATACAAGAAGAAGTGGACAAGTCGAAGACGCGCCAGCCATTTCCGGGTTTTGTCAAGGTGCCTGAACACGTGACAACCATACCACACAGACGAAGTCGTCTGGACGACGTCCGCGCTGGAGGAGATCATGGCAAATCGGAGGATCTAGCCCAACATGACTGGCAATATCCTTCATTCCATACCAAGCGTTTGGGATTATCTTGCTTACTGTCCTGCTCCTGTGCATTTCCACGCATACTGTATGTACGTGGCTCTGGCTCGGATCTACTCGGCGAGCTTCCTCCATCCCCTGCCAAAGCTGCCCCACCAGCAAGGATGACCGCGGGCAAAACGAGGATCCTGAACGATCATGAACGCGACCCCTCGCTCTTACTGGCGCGAGAATGGTGGAGGTTCAGCTGGACAAGCTTTTACCAAGACCTTCGACGCCGCTGCCGGCTTGTACCAAGACTTTGAAGCTTTCGGCTGCACCAAGCCATTGGATTCTGGGAGCGATGATCGCATGTGCAGTGTTGCCGTGTACAACATCTCCTCCACCGCTCCAGCGCTGATGGCACTGGCCATGTGAAGTTCGGGGTCGTGAAGATATCACACGAGGCGGTCCAGAGCGGAGCAGCCGTCGCATCTGAACCCTAGGTTCGCGGACCCTTCTTGACCCCCCGCTGACTTCTCATTTGAGGACCGTGTTGGATCTCCATCGACCGATCTGCAGCCTTCCCTTGCCCCTCCAATCCCGTCTCATGGCCTCCCCTCCAGCAACGACGAGTTATGTCGACTAGATCCGCGTTGATTCGCAAGTTTGCAGCACGACGCGGGAGGGAAGGGAGCCAGGTTCCAAGTCCCAACCGTCCAAACCAACCTGCAGGAGCAGAGGGGCAGAAAAGCTCAAGGTCAACTCCTCAAGCTCAAGCAAAGCTGCAGCTTGATTCATCCCACTACTGTCTGATATTTACAGCCCAAGCGAGGCTAAGCCGCGTATTAATATAAAGACCTGTTTCCCCCTCTTCAGCCCTCCATCTGCACATCATCCTCTTGAACGAAACCAAAAAATCCTACTACACTACCGTAAGTCCTCTGCTTTTTCAACTGCCCTTATTTACCACGATATTCTCCTCGACGATCAGCCAGCAGCCTCTACGCCTCATCGAGCTGCCCCACCATCAACCACCTGCCCCTCCAAACCCTTCCACATACATACTGACCCCTCTCTCGCAGTCAAATCAACCAACAAATCATCCAACATGGGTCTCGAGGATACACTTGAAGAGTTCGCCAACGATGTCACCGGACAGGGAGGCAGTGACGGCGACAACAACGCCAACAACGCCGATGGCAGCAACGACAAGACTGTGGACACCTTTGTCGACTCCGGTAAGAACAGAACTCCATACTGCCCTCTCCTCGCTGCTCTCTACAAAACCTACCCCCCTCCCAAATGCCACACGCATAATACTAACCTGACATCGACAGCAATTGACCAATTCGCCTCCAAGGAGGGTGTCCCCGCCGGCATGGACCCCGAGATCAACAACCTCGTCAACGAGGAGATCAACAAATTCTAAGCGCGCCTAGCCAGCCTCCTCCTATCCGGCACAGACCATAATGCTGGGGATCGGTGGGGTCGTGAATGGGGTATTGGATACGCTTATCGGTGGATACATTCATTTTTTGCACTGGTGGGTTGCTTGCGAAGCGCGGTTATGCGAGACGTTAGCTATGTCACTTTGGAATGAGAGTCCTTCAAAACAACCTGTTGTTCGTCCATGATCTGTGATTTCGTTCTCTGTGCGTTATCTCTTGCCTTGGATCTGTGGTGTCGTGTGAGCGCATGCTGTATTCTTCAGCGATCCCTCGCTTCCCTTCATCCTGATGATCGTCGTCGTACTGTCGCTCGGACGCAAAAAAGCTAGGTATAAAGGTATAGTGTATCAAGCTAAATATGGCAGCCGAAGACGCGATGGTCGTTTCTATTCTTTCTTCGTAAGATCTTCTTGCGTAACCCACGGAGGGGTAATTCAGATACCAGGGCCTCACAAAAAGATCAAGCGAGGAGAGGCTCAGTTGGGCTGAAATATTAATATATATGTCTGCAAGATAGGTAGAGATATATGGCTATGGAGTTTAAAACGCCTCTAGATCTAGGCTTTGTTGATAGCTAGCTGTGATTTGAAGAAATGAAGAGGGATGGGGAAAGGAAACAAAGAGGTTGTTGGGCTCTCGGCCAAGTCTTCATGGCCTAAACTGTTGCTAACCAGTAGCTCTACTGTGATGTGGCATCATGTGGGAGGGAGGTGTATTAAACGACCGTCCTAGAACGCAGCTGAGTAAGACGAGCACGCGTGATCTAGAGCGGACGGAACTCACCACCTAGGCTCTGCCTTCTCGACGCCCGGTGTGGAAACCTCGTTACGGTCCGCGAACGGGTCGTTTTCATCGTCCTCCTCGTCGTCTGATGGTAGCGTCGGGGCGGGGCGCGGGGGCGGCACGGGGCGTTGCTCGGGCTCAGGGTTGGTGGGCCCGATGTGTAGGCCGGCGAGTTGCTGGGCGGTGTCTTTATCTTTGCTCTTGTTGGACTCTTTGCTCTGGTCGGAGGACACTAAGGGTGCTGTTAGGGATTGAAGTGTGAGGGGTGCAGGGGTGCAGGGGTGTTACTGCGGTAGAGGTGGGCCTGGTGAGCCATCTCGTCGTCCGAGTCGCTGTCGGCATCGATGGAGCGGTCGAGCTGCTCGAAGGTCATCAGCGCGGTGACCAGTTCGTCGTTGGCGTGGAGGAGGGCGCCGAGCCATTGCTCGGAATCGACGTGGTGGATCTATAGGCGCCTAGTCAGCATTGTGGCGGAAGGAGAAATAGCCACGTACGTATCGCAATATCTTCCTGCGGAGAAGCTTGCAGATTTCGAAGTGTTTGACGGCAGCTTGGTTCTCAGAGATCTGCTCATGCTCACGGTTGATGTGGCGGAGGGCGTTCAGGAGGTTGGTTGACGCTACGGAGGCTTCGGCAATGCAGTTCTTCATAGTTTCTTTCTCTGCTTCGAGGTTAAATGCTTTAGGCTTCTTGCCCTTCTTGGCCTTCTCCTTCTTTGGTTTCTTGCTTGAAGTGGGGGAGAGTGGACTAAAGAAAGAGTTTGGCGTGGAACTGCCACTTGATTGGACTGGGGTTGAAGTCACAAATGGTTGTTTAGTGACGGTAGGTGACGGAGGTTCCTCCTCGTTATCTTCTTCGGCTTCAAATGGATTCTGTTCGGTCTCACGAAGCACTTTTGATCTGTCCTGGGTAACCACTTGTTTACGCCTGGGTAGTTGCTAAAGAAAGTTGTTAGAATTCTCGGTCCACGGGTCCAGTGAGCAGCTTACCTTGTAGAGACCAGCAATTTGCTCGAGGCCTCGCGTATTCTTGTACTCGACTGCCCAAGTCCTGAAAAGCTCCTTGCACTTTTCCTTGACTAATGGATCAGAGAGGTTGGAAGTGCCGCAAACACGTAAACGCTCCAGCAACATCTCATCCGCAAAGGTACGTTGAAATCGAGGGCCAGCATTGTGAATGAGACCATCCAATATCGTAAGAGCACGAATCTGACGGTGTATGTTGCCATACTTGAGCTTCTTTCGAATTGCCCGAGCAGCTTCTGTAGGTCCAGTGCTTTGAAGCTTGATAGCCTCGACCAGATCTGGAATTCCACTCAAGTCATCTTCCTCAAATTCTTCACTCGTCAGGCGCTCGACAGCAACCGTGACGGCTGAGTATGGTTTCTCCTGCTGGAAGAGCGTTATCATCAGTACCTTGGCTTTCTTAAAACTTCTAATCCAATCCCTGTTGACCCTAATCATAGCAGGATCTTGGATTTTTAGGTGATGCTAATCCAATCCATTGGGCTGGAAGCAACACTCGCGCCTCTACACAATCCAAGGGCATACCTAAAAGGTTTCATATAGACTGGCAAATGGTGATCGGATTTCCTACAAAGAGAATGTCCAACATAAGTCTCTATTAGGAGCGTACTGACCTGTAAAAACATACTGAGGGTTTGTTATGTACCTCTACTTAAACGGAAGGAAGTAAGGCAGGTAGATGAGTACTTGAACTTAGGATTTCGTCCGAGGCTCGCGATAAGCCCTGTGATAGAGCACTGAAGTCCGCTTTGTCAGAGACTTGTCGAGGATGACTTCGCATTCCCTAGCGGAACGACAGATATATCAAAGGCCAGGGCAAGATGTTGTGCAATGTGAAACGCGTTGTCGTGCTTGTCCCGCCGCGCAGGCAGAAGCGGGGTAGAAGACGACACTCCAACGTATCTTGGACTCTCAAGTCAATCGTGGATCTTGCGCACAATTGAAGATATATTGTTGGCACTCCAAAGGTTCGAGCGACGGTGACAGCAACGAATTCAAAGTTGGTTGAGTCCTGAAAGTACGAAGCATGGGGCATGAAGCATGTGACGGAGGTAGTTCCCACGTCCTGCAGCCGATTAGGCTTAGCGCGGGGCTACCACCCTGCGGTGTGAAACGGGTGGGATGGGAAGCGGCTAAGCCCGATTGGAAGCGAGCCTCCCGAGCGCCGCATCTTTCTCATCCATCACTCTTGTCCCTTCAATCATCTCGCCATTCCTCCCATCGTCAATTGATCAATTCTGAGTGTCGATGCGGACTATATGACCTCTTATCCGGCCACAGCGATTTAAAGAGTGGCGGGATGCACTATGGACTAGAAATGCGATCAATATGGCTTGTCGTGGCTGGAATCGAGAAGCAGCACTCAGTACAGACAGTTTGAACCCGGAAACGTTGAAGTCGTATCTTGTATTCTCTACATTCAATTGCACTACTAACTAGATGTGTTTCAGGCAAATAACACAGCGTGGAACAATATCTTTTACCCCTATTAACAATAACCAAACGCGAATTCAAAATACAACCCCCCGAAACATTACTCCAGGAACCAACAGCAACTCTATATCCGATCTTCGAGAGGCACACATGCCAGGTCCTCCCATATTAATATCAACCCATCAAGAAGCTGCTCAGAAGGACAGGTCTGCATCTTTTACAGCTGCATCGACACATGAAGACCAGGGGGCAATACCATGTTTCAGTCATGGAGCGGCATTCGAAGAACGGGCATTGAAGAGGAGGAAGATTGCAGATCCCCAGAGATCACAATCAATGAAGGCCATGAAAGGAGCATTGGAGAGCACTGTTTCGCAAATGTGGGAGCATGGAGATGAGAAGCACAACTACCACCAGTCACCGGGCCACCAATTGACAACCCCTCCAGACTCTACAAAACGGAATAAGAGGAGACCGGGGCTCTCTACACCCAAGGTCAAAACCAAGAATCAGCCATTCCAGAACCCCGGTATTACGAAACCTTTGGGACCTGCTGTAAAAGAATCTATTCGTCAGGCTTCAACTCAACCTGTCAACCAGTATCAAGGATTTACAACTACGGAGCATCGGATAAGCCTAGCAAAAACAACATTAGAAAAACTTGCAGGTTTCAGGTACAAGCCGTCGTGCAACGATTGTCAAAATACAGTGCCGCCAACATCTGTGGAAAACGCCAGTGTTCAAGAAGTTCATCTACCGCCTAATCAGACATTACAACATGGTTCACTCTGTCCTTCCTCGGCCCATGAATCTCCACCTAGTAGCGACAGCTTATTTAATCAAGCTATCTGGAGCACCGGATCGGGCAGTGATTTTTTAATCGCCAACACAGTCCAGCCGATCACAGCTCACCCTACGACCTATGAATTTGGGACAATCCTCGGCCACGATGCAGTTGTGCTTCAAAGTAAAAATGAAGCTGAAATGGACATCACCAATGCTATCGAGACGCACTCAGACTTAGCATGGCACAAATTGTCGGTTTTAGCACAGGTCACCGAAGAAAGTTTTTCCGGTGTTACTGAGCCATTACAAAATGAGCGAAATGAGGAGTCCACGACAAATGATGCAATCCAGATGAATAATTTACTCGAGGAAGTTAATGCTAAGGTGGGTAAGACTAATCTAGAATCATATCATCTCAATGGTTTTCCTACCGGTATACGAGAGACCGGTTTAGGTCAGGTAACCCACGGCGCAGGTGGCCCTGCAGGAAAAAGCAATAATGACCCAGCACATTCTATGTTGATAGGAGCGGCACAGCTCTTCGGGAGGCCGTCACGTAGAAAGCGAAGCATTACTTGTGGGTTAGATCCTGGGGTAGTGGATGCCATTGTCACTTCAGAATCGCCCAAATTTCTTCCTCAGGCGGTTAACTGCCAATTATTTGACACGCAAAGCCGCCATGACAATTCTGGGCTTGAAACATCTAACCTAGACGACAACCAGGTAGTTACTACTGTTTTGTCAAGAAAGTCTTATGCTAGTGACGATTTTGACGAAGGTTTGGCTGATGACGATCTCCTTGCAATTGCTTCAGAAGCTGCTATATCACCTACACCGACGCACGTTGATAAAAAGCTTAACGGTGGTCTAGCTCAGATTCTACACATTCCCTCGGCAACAGATCGGGCTAATACTCAATCCATATCGAATGACTCTGCAGATCAAAGCGCCAACTCTGCCATCCCATCATCAAACATTATTGCATCGGAGCCTGATGAGTATTTCATGGATGAAAATGATGAGGAGGAACTACTCAAGCTCGCGGAGCCTATCATGAACCCAATCGAGAGATTCGTACCTTCCGCAAGTGTGCTGGGTGCCATTCATATCAATAACGACTCGGATAGTGAGGAAGTATATGATAGTTCTCTTCAATTCTCACCCCCAAAGTCACGGGGCTCAGGAGAGTCATCAGGGCCGTCCAACCGCCACAATACTGACAATTTCAGTGCTCACTCGCTCGAAGGAAGACCGCATTTAGTGCCAGCGCCTGTAATAGAGGAAGAAGACTGGAGCTTCATTCGTCCCGTTGAGGCGAATCCTTTTCGCATCTCATCAAAGAAATTCATTACCCCAGCACTGCGTAGTGCATCTATGCATAGCAGGGAACAAACGACCATCACTCCATATTCCCCAAGCTCCGCATTTTCCATCATCAATGACATCCATGAATACGAACCAATCAAGCCCTTCGCTCGACCAGCATATCCAAAGCTCATGCGCGATCGGTGTCCCATTGTCGGCTTGTCCACACAATCATTTCTACGTGTATGCTTTCGCATTGGAGAGATGTACAGGGAAGGGGCAAGATGCGATGCTTTAGGCCTGAATGCAGTCATTGAGCTCTTTGCACGCATCAGTTTCTCATCTCGTGAACCGGGTACGACCAAGCAGCATTTCCAGTTCTTGGATCTCTGGCATGATCGTCCCCCTTACACGACTGGCCTTCTAGTGAACTATAAGATGACGAGTTTGCTTGAGAGTGAGAGTAAGGTATTCCTCGATAGTGAAGGTAGGAAGATGGCTCGATGTTTGGGAAGGCTCAAGAGAGACGCGAAGAGTAACATGGGGTGGTTGTTACACATCGTTCACATTAGGGAGACGGACTGGGAGGAAATTAGATGGACAAGAAGAATTGTAAGTGCTGGTGATTCGTCAAGGGCGAAAGCAAGTTCGGTTGTTCAAGTGGAAGAGGATTGATCTGAGGGAGGGATTACCATATTGACGTTTTTTCGATTTTGCTATCCGAATTTTGCTAGCCGGAGTGGCTCGACTGATATTTAGGACCAACTGACTGAGCTTTCACGTACATTTTATATTAGAGGTTTGCCAACATATGGCTTTATATATATCAATATCAAGATACAGTATCTACGGATACTGCACCAAGCTCACGTTATGCGTTATGTCTATTCCAACTATTCCTGATGCAACTTTTTAGCTGGAACGGTGTGCCGCACAAGGATGAGCATATGATTTGACGATGGACTTTCAGCTGGGATTGTGGCTGACGGCAGCATAATCCTCGGGGGAACTTTGCTCCTTCTCTTATCATCGACATGGGTACCTTAGTTCAAACGTCAACTTCAACCTTCTGTCAGCCCTGAAAACCTCGGTCTGAGTTGCAAACTTGCAAACTTGCAATCTATATCCCATCTATACATCTCAAACAGAATATCATCTTGCGCAAGAAAATCCCCAGCAAAGATGAACAGGCAACGCTACGAACCCGTCCGTCCCTCCCCACTCTCCCCACCCTCCCGACTAACCAGCGCAATCAGGTACCCCAACACGACCAAGACATCATAAGACTCGACTCCCTCCAGCAGAACACCCCCTACAACTATAACAGCGGGCTCCCGAGCTCGGTGCCCTCGTCAGCGGCGCCCTCCTACGCCGCGCCCTCAACCCGCTCGATTCCCGCGTCGCCCCCGCCCAGCTTCCATACCCTGAGCCGCGCGGGCACACCACGGGCCAGTATGCGCGGTGGCGAGGGCGCCGAGCTGTGGGGCGTGGCGACCAGTACAGGCGGGGCGTTGACGGAGCGCGAGACGGAGACGGAGGGGTGCGAGGGGACTGAGGCGTTGGAGACGATTCGGAGATTGATCGAGAGGGTTGACAGGTTGGAGGAGTCGGTAGGGCGGCTTCTGGTATGTAGAGTCCCCTGATTCTGCTGTCCCAGAGCTGGAAGCGCTTGTATGGTGTTGGTAGCTGACTGATGATTGATTTGTGGGGCATAGTTGGAGAAGGAGGATTTGTTGCAGGGGAGGAAATCGGCGAACTGTTGTGTGTCGTTCACGGATGCGTCGCCGGATGTGGAGAGGGCATTGATGCGGGCTGGTGATAATTGCTGTGTGAGTTTTAGGAGTAGTCGGTTTGCGAATGCGAGGAGAGAGAATCGGAGGCATAGGATTTTTGCGGTTCTAGGGGTGGCATTTATAGTCACTCTTGGAATTGTCGTGATTGTGCTTGGGAAGTCGCATAAAGACAGGAAGTTAGGGATGGGAGAGGAGATGAATTAATTAATGATGAGAGAAAGCATCGAGACTCGAGAGATTCGAGGGCAGGGACTACATATCTGGGAGTTTGGGGCACGGTCTGGAAGGGCGGGATATTGGTATTGAGGTAAGCGTGGATATCCCTTGATATAAGGCACCTTAATAGGCATGGCATGTAAGAAAGTAGTAATGAATCTGTCTCCTTGGTAAACACCTAATCAATCCCTTTACTAGATCTTCGAAACAGAGTCCCAACTATCAATTATCGGTTCAACGTTCTTCAATTCCCAACCAACCGCGGCCAATTCTCTTTCAGAAACTCAACCACAGCATCCGGTCCCTTCTCGACCTGCAATCCCTGCGGAATTGCCATTGTCTTGATTCCAGGAACTGTCTCCCTGGCTATCCTTTGAATCTCATCGCTTTCTTGAGGTGTCCACATAGAGGCGCAGAACTAGGCAGGCGTCAGTATATCTTTGTCTCCCTAGTAGAATCCAAGAGAGGAATCAGGGGGCAAACGTACGAGGACATCAGGTTGGTTCTTCTCGCACATGGCTTTCACATCTTCGATTCCTGTTCTGATAGTCAGCTCCCTTCCCCCTTTGGGCTCATTAAATAGATGATTTGTGAATACTACCCCGCAGCCCAACTTCCCAAGAATGGCTGCTAAAACTTAAACATCACCACATTTGCAAATTGCCAACACCTCACCATCTATCTCATCACCGGAACCAAAGCCTTCCATGCCTCATCTCACTCTCAACGTTCAACTTTAATCGAATGCATGGGGACACTTTCACCCACGTCTCCTACTCCAAAAGCACGGAACAAAATTCTAAAATCAAATAAGTATACGAAAATATGGAAAACTAACTTTCAGCATTCGCAAGATGTAAAATCGTATATTCGGCCTTCACATCCTCAACCACGCGGCCGACGAGCCGCTTTGCGCGTTCAGGAGCCGTGTTGACGGTACACAGCTTATAGGGTCCTTTGGGTGCCATTTCTTCTGCAGTTCTGCTTGCTTGAAAAGACAAACGACCAGAGATATGACAAGAGATCTAGGATGATGGATTGGAGAAGAAAGTTCTCTATACTGTTCTCTTGGAGAGGTTTTGGAGAGGAGATAAAAGGCCGGCGGGAAAGGAAGATCCGAATGTGGGACGATGAGAAGGTAGGCCTGGTAAAGATTTATGCGGAGATGGAGTTGGGGGTGGGGGAGTGGATCGGCAGGGGCAAGCGACCACCTTCGGCTCAGTCGCCGGGTCGGCACGGGAGAATGCTCCCTTTAGACGGGTATATCTGGGCGTCTTCACTCTTTTCTTCGGGGATTGGAGGGGCGGGTTCTAAGAGGAATTAAGTTTTTATTCGTGATTTCTAATAAGACGTCCAGGTCTTAAAGGATTCCGGTTTAACCATAGCACACCCCCCAATGTCCGCAGAAAGATATGGATTACCGTACCAGTCCATGATCGCAAGATTAATGTTTTTAAAATATCAGTAGGTTATTAAGCATGATGCTAGTGTGCCTGTTGCATTTCCGGGGAAAGTTAAACGAAAACAATTGTCCGCCTGCTCGTTTTATGTGACCCTTGTGACATGACATCAAAGATGAAATGAGTCCCCTTGACACTTTGACATCGTATTCATAGATCTCGTATATATCTATAACTTGGAACTTCTCTTTGACTTGGCTATAGTCCAATTAGCAAGTAATCGGACTATCTCGACAGAAAGAGGACTTACCTTCCAGCTCCGCCTTTTTGAGCTCGAATCTCTTGAACGGAGCCCCCTCAACAAACCTCTCTGCCAACGCATCCATAGCATTATAGACAGCTAACATCCGGCCATCCTTCAGCGGCGCATTTTGCAACCTCTTCGTCTCTATCATACTCTTCCCATCATTGACCTTCAACTGCTCTCTTAAAAACTCCTTCACGCTATCATGAAATCCCGCCGCGGGGAAAATCCTATTAACAACACCCCACTGCTCCAATTCCTGGGCCGTCAATTTCCGACCAAACATCAGGAAATCATTGGCGCGGTGAACGCCTATGCTCTGAGCAAAGTTGATTGCGGATCCGTTCTCCGGCACCAGCCCGAGAGCCGAGAATGGGATTTGGAGGTAGGTTGAATCGGAGGCCAGCACGATGTCCGCTACGCCTGTGAACCAGGCACCTCCCGCGCCAACTCCAGGACCATTGAGCGCAAGCACAAAAACTTTTCGGTGATTAATTATCGAGCGGAGAATTTCAATCCCTGCAAGGCAATCAGAATGGGCTGGTCATGGGATTAGAAGCACGCAGACCTGAGTTGAATCTCGTCATATATGCTAATTTTGCTTCCGTCCTGTTTGAGAATGGCCCGTTGGAGGTGGCAGCATTAGAACCTGTATAGTACGTGGTCAGCGCCTTATAGTGTGGGAAGCCGGGATTGGGAAACTATGTATAAACTTACTTCTGATATCGGCACCGGCTGAGAAGAACCTCCCCTCGCCGGTGAGGACGGTGAAGATGGTGTCGGGATGCTCATCCAGTTCTCGGATAGCGGTTATTGTTTCTTCTATAAGCTTTCCGCCAAAGGAATTCAGGGATTTGGGTCGATTGAGCTATTGTCAGTTAGCAATAGCTCATAGACATGATTGCGGGGAGATCACCTTGATAATTCCGATCTGGCCCGTGATCTCCACCACAATGTCGTTGTATGTGTTTGTTGACATGGTGAGGGTGTTTTGCTAGGAATATAGTGATGTATAAGACTGGTACAAGATATATACAGCTCAATCATAGAAAGGATTGTTTTTAAGAAGTTCTATGAGATATCCCACACGAAGTATTCGAACAAAGAAGACCGTCTCGTCGACCTCCACATTCTGGTTTATCTTAGCTTTACCGCGAGCCGAAAAGCGGGGAAAGCTATACCTTAGCTGTACGGTGTACTGTATTATATAAGGTTCCTGAAACCACGACTACCGAGGAAGCTGATCACTCATCATTATTTCTACATACGATATGCCGACGACAATTATGCTGCGACGATATGGATGCTGGGGGAGTCGACGAACCCCAGTTGTTAAGCACAGAGTCCTTGGACGCCGCCCGAAATTGCCCTGAAATCGTCTCACATCCTGGAGTCTCCTATCGCGTCCCCGCCGCCTCGCACCGGTAGCCAAAGACCTCGATAAAACCAAGCACCATCTGGCAGACTGTCATAGATAGAGGAAACTGGCAGTGAAATGGTCTGCGAGGATCATTCCCGTGGCACAATGTGGGATGGAAACCTTTCTCGATACTCCAGCCCTCCTCGCGAAAGCGCAAGTGCCAATTGATGTGACCCAGAGGTCGCAAACTGCCGCGACATATTCAAAGTAGATATACCCAGCTTCCTTTCTATTGTAAAGTTGCTAACTAGCTCTGATGAAGCGACAGCTCTAGCCTTCGAGCCTGATATCAACGGCCGGACATCTCGGCATAAAACACAGCGAACACGGATATATAACCATCGTGCGGAATGTTGATGTACTGGTACAAACGAAGCATGTTGGTAACATGCGGTTGGGGAATGTTGCTTCACACGAAGTCGACTCCTACGCTCAATTCCTAGGCTAAAAGGTCTTATCATATGACTAGCACTTCTCCTTCCTGGTATGGACCACCCTCAGTGTTGATATATCTACCCACTTCATCGTTCAAGAGAGTAGAAGGGAGGTAGGCAGGCTTGTGTACGTTCTATCTTTTGGTCTTGCATACCTTTCAACTGTCCGGACGGACCTATCTCTAACGAGTCTGCAAAAGCTGAAGAGCTTTCGCGACATAAGCGGCTCAGGCATTGTGCCCAAGCTTTGCTCGCTCACGAGTACCCAATCAAGCTGTGCTGCTTCTTCGCGAGGCGTTACCCCAGGTACTTCCCTGTCTCAGGATTGAAGATGGGGGCAATTAAAAGGCCAAGGAAAGTGGATCGCTCTGTAGCAGCTCACCAGTCGCAAGACGCTGTTTGAAGATGGAAGTACTCTTCACAGGACTCTTTCAAAACTACCACAAAAGCTGACTGGAAAGCAAGTCTGGTTAACCTGGACTTTCCGAAGCAGCAGCTGGTGTCAGATACAATACAGGCCACATGAGACTCTGTTGGATCTCGGCTAGTGATACCACCTCGTGTACAGTATATATATAGCTTATCTAGACCCCTACCTTTACTCTTCAATCGAGTCTGTTTCTCTCGGCCGACAGTTGGACATTGTACCGAGTGGTACCAGACGTCTGCTGTGCAATTTATGGCGATCGAGGACCGAGGTTCCCCGAGGAGTTAAGCAATGCCATTTTTTTCGCACAGAGATCTGCCACATTACACGGGGAGATACAGTTCAATGGTCGCAATAACATTTACAATATATCGCTGTGCATTCAATTGATTTACAAGCAAATAGCTCGGGATTAGATTGAATGATAAAGTTATCAGGCTGTTTCCCAGCTGAGACACCCCAGAGTCCAGCTCTCGCTCCTCCATTCTATCCCACGCCCCTCTCCATCCCTCACGCTCCTGCTTTTAAACTCTTGCAGACTTCCCCGCTTTCCATCGCCCAGGGAATTAGCCCTGGTTGCATGATATACCTTGCACAATTTGCATAACTACAGATATGACCCGGCAGAACAAGTATTCATGCCGGTAGCCGTCCTCGATATCGGTCCTCCCGGCCCCTTGCTGTCTGGCATCCTCGGGTGTTAGAAGGTTATGCTCAACAATGGCGGGGTCTGTATCAAATCGTTACTTTGGTAGGGGTGTTGCGTGTGGCATGATACGTACGAGGCCATATTAAGAGTCCAACGCTCAACATTCATGGAATACTTCTTTGATGATAGGTTGATACTCAAGTGCCGACGGATCACGCTCGGGCCGACCCATGGCCAAATATACGCTGTGTGACAATTATAGGTGCCCTCGAGACCACTCACTTCATGCGGGAATGTTCAGGATGGGTAGGACGGAAGAGAATGGCACACTTGCATAAGGAGTTAGAATCATCCTGTCTCTTCTTGGATCGAAGAAGTGGATTAAGAATAGGGCTCTCCCTCCTCGCCACCTTCCCTTCCTCGCCACCTTCCATTCCTCGCCCCCTTCCATTCCTCGCCACCTTCCATTCCAGTCTATCAGACTTCTCTGGTTTCTATCGCTCTTTGCAGATCCAAGCAATCAACAAATTTCGATCTTTCATTATAAGATGGCTCCTTTAAACCCAAGCTTCACAATAGAAGACTCCTTGTTGGGTCTGTGTGGGGTTTTTGGTCTAGTAAGAACTACTGACTTGAATGTTGACAATTTCTAATCGTTGATCGAATATCAGTCTCTCTGTTATCTCCTTGGACTTGCCATTTACAGAGTTTACTTCCATCCCTTGGCTGCATACCCAGGCCCGAAAATATGTGCCATTACTCGACTTCCATATCTGTGGAATCATGTCAAGGGCCGACAGACGCACAATGCACGCAGGCTACACAATATATATGGTGATGTCGTTCGCATTGCTCCAAATGAGCTTTCGTACACCAATCCCAATGCATGGAAAGATATCTACGGCCATCGGCAAGGTAAGCCAGAGATGGCGAAAAACCCAAAGTCCTATACTACGCACCCTGGAGGCAAACATATCATAACCGCGAACCGCGAGGACCACTCTCGTTTTCGGAAAAATCTCTCACACGGATTCTCTGACGCGTCCATGCGCCAGCAAGAGCCGCTGATACAGAGTTATGTCGACCTTCTCGTGCGGCGCCTCGAAGAACATTCGCATGACGGCCAGATACCGCAGAACATGTGCTCATGGTATAATTGGATAACTTTCGACATCATTGGAGACTTGACATTTGGAGAACCTTTCGGCTGCCTGGAAAATTCAGACTATCACCCGTGGGTCCGTGCCATATTCGACACCGTTAAGGCTGGAATCTATATCAATGCGCTCAAATACGTGCCCTATGGACAAAAGGCAGCTTGGTTTTTTATCTCCAAGGAGTTGCTAGCGAAGAAGAAAACCCATCACCAGATAACAGTCGAGAAAGTCAAGCACAGAGTAGGGCTAACAGAGGAGAGGCCAGATTTTCTGGGTAACATCCTGAAGCGAAAAGAGAAGGGCTTCACGTTCCCAGAGCTCTTGAGTAATTCATCTATCCTGATCATAGCTGGCAGCGAGACTACAGCTACCATCCTCTCTGGTGTGACGTATATACTTCTGAAAACCCCGGATGTGATGGACAAAGTCGTGCATGAGGTGCGCTCCTCGTTCAGCAGCAACGACGAGATTACCATCCACTCGACCAGCAGTCTGAAGTACATGATCGCTTGTCTTGAAGAGGCACTCCGGATTTATCCACCTGCACCTGCAGGATTTCCCAGGATCGTACCTGAAGGAGGAGATTTCATTGCGGAAAAATGGGTTCCCGGCGGAGTAAGTCATTTGAGCACGTTGAACAGCAAATTCAAATAGACAAGATCTGACCCTTCACAGACGGTTGCGGGTGTGAGCATAATGGCAGCACACCACTCGCCAGACAATTTCCGCGACCCAGACTCATTTATCCCAGAGCGATTCCTGGGGGATCCGCGTTTTGTGGACGACAATAAGAATGCTCTGAATCCATTTTCGACCGGTCCAAGAAACTGTCTTGGCAAGAAGTAAGCGATCAATCCCTTATACCAAAATCTTGTCTCTAATTGCGTCGGTAGCTTGGCATGGGCAGAGATGCGATTGATTCTGGCGAAAGTGCTATTCAACTTCGACTTGACACTTGCTCATGGAAGCGAAAATTGGCTGGATCAGAAGTCATACACCATTTGGGAGAAGGGCGCACTGAACGTGGGGCTGAAGAAGATTGTGAGATAGGGTGTCGTAGACGCTTAGGCTTCTCCGACAAGCCAAAATTTTGATATACTTGGCAGAACCTTATAGTCGAGAAACAGAAGGACTTTGTTGGCCTATGGATGCTGAGACGGGAGGCCGGTCGAAGGAAGACGAGCTCACTGGCAGTGTCATTTCTTACTCAAATCAATGAGATTATCAAAACTACAGTAATAATATCTCTAAAACAAATGAAATCCTGTGATGCTCTGACGCAACACAAAATCAAGGAAAAATTCTGTAATGCCAGACCAGCCAAGCCAAGATACCTTACCTACAAATTCTGAAGCTCTAGAATTACCACTAGATCGCTTAGGAAAAAGGGGGACGGGTAGCGTCGGATAAAAGGATAGCGCCACCCGCTTATACCGGTATACCGAGGATATATTACCCCTCACCCAAGAAGTGAGCACCGAGTATCATATCTTTGCGTGGATTTAGGTAGGGGTTTTTCTAGCTATCCCGCTGTCAGTTCGTGTCTCAGATCTCATCTTATATCACATCTCGAAAAATAACTGACAGGTAGACTTAGATGGTAAGACAGTGTGGTTGGAATCACTGAATCAGTGAAGCAAGCCGTCTCAGATCTCATCTTATATCACATCTCGAAAAATAACTGACAGGTAGAGTTAGATGGTAAAACAGTGGTTGGAATCACTGAATCAGTGAAGCCATCTCAGATCTCATCTCATCTTATATCACATCTCGAAAAAGTAACTGACAGGTAGAGTTAGATGGTAAAACAGTGGTTGGATTCACTGAATCAGTGAATCCGGAACTTGGAAATCAAAAAGGGGTCTGGTACGAAGAAACTGAAGCTTGCTGTTTGTATGTAGGGCTGGCTGACTGCCTCTTTTATATGTAGCCAATCTGGCAGGATTAAACCCAAACAACTGAAGCATAACAATATATATGTAGAATCTGAGTTTCTTGGTACATCGTCTCCGAGGTTGTAAAGTATCTGATGGACGGATGCGAAGTGTTTGGGTTTTCATGCATGCACGTAACTGATCTTGCATCGCCATGAGATATCCAGCTTCTTTCTCGATAGGGCAAACTGAGGAGTGTCAACATGCAAGAATGACTGCGCATCTGGATCTATCAATCTAAGAATTCTGGGACAAAGGAAAGAAAAGACATGACGTTTTGGTAAACGATAAATATGGCTAGGATAGATTACCCAAAAGTCAAGCCTGTCCACTCACAAGTTGAGTATTCGGGGAAGATAGGTAGGTGGAAGAGAAATCTTGAAGGGAGAAGAGAAGAGACAGAAAAAGCTCCTATTCCTGACCCCTTGCTACCCAGGGCTTTCGAGGCCAGGAAACGCGGCGCTGCAGAATCAATTCTTCGAAACAAACATCCAACGTCTGCGGGCAAGCAAGCCGTTATCGAGCCCGCCCACGCCCCGATTTCTGGGACGTTTTCCGAAACCAGGGCCAAGCTGCTGTGCGGCAGGGAGACAGGGACGGGCTGGGATGTTCCAGATGCTTGCTTAGCTCCGCACGCTACGAAATGCCGCTTCTGAAACCCGGAGAATCCCCAGTCTGCTGCTCCCGTGGGGGTGGGTGAGTCCCGTGAAGGGAAGCAAGGACAGTTCCGACGACTGAGCAGCGGGATCTTGGCGTGGAAGGACGGATCATACCCAGATCCGAAAGACGGGTTGAGATGAGTAAACATGGAAGAGAGCATGTTACTGATTTTTTGGGGTTCATAAAACTGTAGTCTGTAGGGGTTTTTAATTCTTCTTTTTGACTGACAGTGAAGCCCAAGGTAGGATCTGTTTGCTATACGATACGCATATGAAATTATCAAGCAGAATATCAAAGAACCCTTCGAATCTTGGTCACTCAATCCACGATTCTGCTATCCAACATTCGCGACCCTGAATCGTCGATTCAGCCTAAAACGGAAGTTAAGAAGATGTCTGCGCTCCGGGTGGGGCAACGGATAATCCCCATGTGAATGAAAATGTGACATGTACATAATTCCTTGAATAAGGTGTATACCTTAGTACGTCCGTACGATGACCATCTTATAGGTGTACCTACGTAGTGGGGTAGAGGGGTGCGTAAGGGTGCCGAGCGTGGCTTGGAGCCGAGATTATAGCAACAGATCGAAAACACCAAGCGCGTTTAGCTGGAGCCTATCATAATATATGGGATGTTCATAATATGGACATAATAGGTAGATGAGGTACTTGGGGTTTAGTTAAAGAAAATAAATAGGGTTCTTTTGCGGCAGTACCTAGGTACGTTGGCAACTTAGTGTACCTTGCATTTGATAGGTACCTGGTACCTTAGCAAGCCAGAAGATGTACCTGTCTTATAACAATACATACCCAGAGTGTGATTAAAGGTATGATAATACGAAGATATCAAACCTCTGCTACACTGATAGCACGTCGTATTCCGTAAATAGAACAAATCCGGTATTCTTCCTGTGCTATGCACGCACAAAAAAAGTGTCAAAATTACTGCTTCGGGGCCCCGGAAATACCTTAGTTGGAAATGCATGCATGGTATGCCAGAAGTGGCTGAGAGCCGAGTAACTATCCCACCCCCTCGGCCCCTGAATATCAAGAGGCGCGGCCTTTGAAACCCCGCTGGAACACACGCGGCCCAGCCACTCACACGGGATGCTGACCGCACATCTCTTCCTCGGCATCTGCTCCGGGTGATAGCCTGCTGCGGGGTAAGGCTATCCAGGGGCTAATCCAGAGGCTAGCCCACATCCAGCTAGATGTCTCCGGACTAGCGGCTGCGGGGTCTCCGCCATTTTTATCTGAAATACAGTATTACTGGTAATCCGACTGGTAATACTGCAACGTAAATTACAGTAGCACGCGCAGTAGCACATCGAGCCGTGGGAACTTTTCTCGACTATCGACAACCGAACCGCGCGCTCCGTAGAAACAATCGTCGCTTTATCGGCCACCAACTACCATCCACCGTCCGTCATCCGACATCCTTCGTCCCTTATCCGCCTCCCCTCGATCCTCCTCCGCGGACCTGGTCAAATGAGCGTGCATTTTTGCTCTCCAGTCTCACGTCCCTCATCCGATCCGATAATGACATCCCCACGTCACATGGAAGGGGCCCCCCCGCCTTCGACACTTGGGGCCCCAATGACAGGCCGGAGCGGCCAGCAACAGCCAATGGCCACCGACTGATTGAACCCTCCTGCTTTGAGTAAGATTCCCATCCACCAGAGCGGGGCTGGTACCTTGTGCCATCTATATCTATATCAACAGCAGGATGGCGACTGCTGTAGACTCTGTCGACTCTGCTCATCCTCCCAACCCAAACACAATGTCTGCCTCCCGCTCAAACATCACTGTGCCCACGTCCGCTGCCCCGGGCAAGACCTCGGAGGTCGATGTCCTGATCGTTGGAGCCGGTCCTGCCGGGTAAGTTCCTCTCGTGCTGGAGGTCGCATTGCGCCGTCTGCTAATACGCCTCCAGACTCATGGCAGCGACCTGGTTCGCGCGATGTGGGATCAAAGCCAGAATCGTGGACAAGCGGGGGACGAAGATCTACAACGGCCAGGCCGATGGTCTCCAGTGCAGAACCCTGGAGATCTTCGATTCGTTTGGCTTTGCGGACCGTGCTTGGAAGGAGTCCAACCACATGATTGAGATCTGCTTGTGGAATCCCAACTCAGAGGGCGTCCTTCGGAGGTCAGACCGCATCCCAGATACCATCCCGGGTCTCTCCCGGTTCCAGCAGGTCGTGCTTCACCAAGGACGTATCGAACGCTTCTTCCTGGACTCCCTCAAGGAGCACAGCGATATCCGTATTGAGCGCGGGGTAATGCCTGAGAAGTTGACCTTCAATGAGGAGGACGCCGAGAAGGAGGACGCCTACCCGATTGAGGTCGTCTTGCAGCACCTGTCGGATGAGGAGATGAACCCTGAGCAAAGCAAATCAACGGCGGGAGCAGCCGTCTCGGACGGTCTCTTCCGAAGCAACTTGGCCCCCGATGACACCGAGGAGCTTCTGCAACAGGCTGCGGCCAAGGGCCGGACAAGCTCGAGAGAGACTGTGAGGGCCAAGTACATGATTGGTTGCGACGGTGCACACTCTTGGACAAGGAAGCAACTTGGATTCGCACTGGAAGGCGAGCAGACTGACTACATCTGGTATGCCGAACACTTATTCTACTTGGCTTTCTTTGGCTAACACGATTCAGGGGTGTCCTGGACATTATCCCAATCACAGACTTCCGTAAGTTGCTCTGGCAGCCATTACTGATCTCGAAACTCATCTGTATACAGCCGATATCCGCGTAAGATGCGCCATTCATTCTGCCAACTCGGGTTCCATCATGGTTATCCCCCGTGAGAACAAACTGGTCCGTCTGTATATTCAGATGACAACTACTGAGAAAGGAGGAGCCACCGTAAGTCGTGTTCCAAGGTTGCGATGGCCGGTGCTAAAGCTCTCCCAAGGTTAACAGATCAAACATTACACCGGACATGATCCTGAAGGCCGCTAACAAGACACTCGCGCCATACACCTTGAGTTACGAGTACTGTGACTGGTGGACTGCCTACCAGATCGGTCAACGAGTAGGATCCAACTTCTCCAAGAACGAGCGAATCTTCCTGGCTGGTGACGCCGTCCACACCCACTCCCCCAAGGCCGGTCAGGGCATGAACGTCAGTATGCAGGATACATACAACCTGTGCTGGAAGATCTCCAATGTCCTCAACGGAGTCGCCGAGCGATCCATCCTCAAGACCTACCAGTCGGAAAGACGGAGGATCGCACAAGATCTGATCGCGTTCGACCACCGATTCTCCCGCCTCTTCTCGGGTCGTCCTGCGAAGGATGTCATGGACGAGACCGGAATCAGCATGGAGGAGTTCAAGAATGCCTTCGAGAAGGGTAACCTGTTTGCCAGCGGTGTGGCTGTCGACTACGGTTCCAGTCTCATCGTTGCCAAGCCCGGAAGCTCGGCCGAGCAGGGCGACGGGACCGACGTTGAACAGAAGTCTGACAAGCTCCGCGTCATTGGCAAGCAAGAGCTTGCCTCCAACATCAAGCTCGGTATGCGCATGCCCAGCTTCAAGGTGCTCAACCAGTCGGATGCGCGCCCATGGCACTTCCAGGAAGTCCTCCGCAGCAACGGAAAATGGAGAATCGTGATCTTTGCCGGCGACCTCTCCAAGAAGGAGCAGATGGATCGCTACAAGAAGCTGGGCGAGGCACTCGCGGCGCCGACGTCGTTCCTCCACCGCTTCACGCCCGCAGGAAAGCCCATCGACTCGGTCATCGAGATCCTGACGATCCACAGCGGGCCGCGCACCGAGATCGAGCTGCACGACTTCCCAGAGATCTTCCGGCCGTGGAGCAAGCGGGAGGGCTGGGATTACTGGAAGATCTATGTCGATGCGCCGTCGTACCACGAGGGCTTCGGCGAGGCCTACAAGAACTATGGCGTGGATGCGGCGAAGGGGTGCGCGGTGATCCTGCGGCCGGACCAGTACGTATCGTGGCTGGGCAACCTGGAGGACGTGCAGGAGATGGACCACTTCTTCTCTGGGTTCATGAAAGTCCGCAATTAGATAGATACCTCATTTGTTTTCCCCTCTCTTGCTGCGAGGAGGGTGATGAAGAATACCATGTTGATTGTATTGGAAAGTTTGTATGTACCCGAGATGCCCAAATCCCACTTCGAATGAAAACAACAGCGCGGGGCGGAAGCTCCTATTATCCGGCTCTTCTTAAGTCCTGCCCCTCGCACATTTCTCCAAACCCGCTCCTTCTCCTTTAACTCCGTAGAAATGGTACGAGTAGTAAGCCAGCCCATCATGTCGGACTCGGCTCCTGTGCTACTATGCTACAAAACCCGCAACACCCGCCCTTCCAGAAACTTCCTCGGCCTCTTCTCCCCTTTCGCATATTCTCCCATCAAGTTATCCATCATGCCCTCTTGCCCCTCTCTCGCCAATTCTTACTCTATTACCCCTGGCATCTCTCAATAGCTTCAGCCAATCCGCATCTGCCAATTACCGCTTCTCTCGGTATTCTAGATGCCGTCGGAACGCGCACCCTGTCTAGCGCTGCGACTTCTCTCCGGATGACGTACAGCGAGTGCACGGATGAATTGACTCTGTGTAGATTATGTAAGCATGTCAGGCACGTGTTTCGTTAATATTCTTATCATCTCTCTTATCTGCCTACACCAGCATCCGTGCTTACCTAAGTAATCAACAAACGAGGAGCACACGTACCCCGCGCGGGGTAATTCGGGGATCTGGAGGGAAGGGAAATAGTTTATTCTGGTTATTCCCGCGAGCTTCCGGAATCCTGATTTGTTGAGGGAGGGGAAAGGGTTCGGTGGAAGGGAGACTAAGGTATCTTAGGTACCTAGGTACGGCGGCTCCGCGTTGGGGATTGGGGGATGGAGGGAGATTTGGGGTCTGGGGCGTGGGGAATGGGGGGAGGGTACTTCTTCCGGGGTTTGAGTTGAGAGGGGGGGTTTATAAGGGGCTGGACTCCCGGGTGATGATGCTATCTCTTTTCTTGTTTGTTTAGAAGAAAGCTGAAGAAAAAAAGCAGACAGACAGTCTAGTATCGCATCTCATCTCATCATCATCGCAATGGCAACCACCCCCTACGCACCCGAATGGCTCGAGGTACCTACCTCTACCCTTCCCCCCCTCTTCTTTTCTCTCTCTAAAATTCCAAATTCTAACAACAATCCCCAACAGGTCGAAGCCAAACTCGGCGGTCGCTCGGTCCTCAAAGGCACGTACGCAGAGCAGCGCGAACAGTTCGCAGGGCTGGGCGCGGCGCTGGGATCGCTGGCTCCGCCGCTGCCGGATGCTGTCGAGACGGAAGATATCTTGATCAATAATGGGACGTTGAGGGTCCGGGTTTATAAGCCGAAGGAGGCGGCGAAGGAGGGTTTGTCGTTGGGGGTGTAGTATGTTTTCTTCTTTTCTTTCTGTTTCTCTATCTTGATTCTGGATTCTGGATTGGCTGATGAGGAATGGTTTTACCTAGTTTCCATTGTGGTGGTTATGTCATGGGGAGTATCGAGGGTGATGATTGTGAGTCTTTCCTGAAATTCCCCTATCTATCAATCTATCTAACATCTCCCCCAAAGATCTCTGCCGCGCAATCTCCATGTCCGCATCCACGGTCCTCGTCTCCGTCGACTACCGTCTCGCCCCGGAACACCCATACCCGGCTGCACTCGAAGATGGCCTCAGCGCACTCACCTGGGTAACCTCCCCTTTTCCCCCTCCTCCCCCCTTTTTTCCTCTTCCCCCCCGTCACTAACCCCATCCTGCAGGCCTACGATAACGCCCCCACTCTCCACGCCTCCCCCTCTAAGCTATACACCATGGGCCAATCCGCAGGAGGAACCATCGCGCTCGCGCTCGCGCTGAAGATCAAAGCGTCAGGGCAACCGCAGAAAATCAGCGGCGTCGTAGCATTGGGCCCGGCGACGGTGGCGCCCAGCGTTGTGCCCGCGCATTTGAAACATCTGTTTAAGCCTGAGGAGAATACGGATTCCGCGATTATAGATGCGGAGGCTATGAGCGTGTATACTGGTTTGTGTTTCCTCTCTCTCTCCTTGCTTTGTGTTGCGTTGCGTTGCGTTGCGTTGCCCCTTTTCGATTTTCGCTTATTTGGATTTCTCCTTTTTACCACCCCCCTTCCCCCACCCTTCCTTCCCAAGAAAAGAATACTTTCTCTCCCCACAACTACCTAACTAACCTCTTCAAAAACAAAACAGCAAACTACAACCCCCCCCTAACCGCGCCCGACTTCTCGATCCTGCTCTCTCCGGACCTCGCCAAGCTGCCCCCCGTCTACATCGTCGGGTGCGGCAAGGATCCCGTGCGCGACGACGTTCTGGTATTCGAGCAGGAGATCCGGAAGCTTGGGGTTAAGACTAAGTTTGATTATTATGAGGGCTGGCCGCATCTGTTTTGGATCGTGCCTGGGGTCGAGATGGGGACTAAAGCGGTCGGGAATATAGTGAAGGGGATTCAGTGGCTGGGGGAGAATATGGGGTAGTTTGTTGGCTTGGCTGTGGCCACTAGCTAGTATGGTTGGATGGAAGGGGGAGAGAGATTCAAGGAGGACGAGGAGTAGATCTGAGAATTTAGAGAAATTTTATTTATTTATATTCTCTCTTTCTTTGATCTCTTTCTATATATATATATCGCTTGCTATGTGAAAACATCTCTCTATCTCTCTCTCTCTATCTCTACCGCTGTGCTGTGCAAAGAAGCTTAGACAAGACAAGAACAGACCAAGATCAAGATTAAGAACCCATCCTAGGCGAGAGAAGAGCCAGCCAGGCCATATTCCTTTCACCCGCGCGCTTCCTATGCTACCTACCTAATCTATCTACCGTCTCCTTATACCATGCCATGCCATGCCATACTATACTATGGTCTTGCATCCCCGCCCCCGGCCCCCGGCCCCCACAACACAACACAACACAAACCCCTCCTCAATCCTTCCTATAATCCCCATCATCGCCAAAATCCCACGTCGCCGCATCCGACGCATTCGGCCGACTACCGCGCTGGAATCCGATCTCGACGCCCTCGATCTGCGCCACTGGCTTGACGGCACACACGTCGGCGCCGTACGCCTTGGAGAACCACGTCTCGGTGAACTTGCCGGGGACGAAGAGCTCCGGGTAGTTGGCCTTGAGCAGGAGCAGCGTGGTGCCCGAGATGTCGTCGACGCTGTGGTTGTGGCGCAGCGAGAGGAACTTCTCGTTGACGGTGGACCGCAGCTGCGCTTGGATCTCCTCCGGGTACTGGCCCACGGCGAACAGGAGCAGGTCGTATTGGAGAAGCGAGGCTTTGCCGTGCCAGGAACCGCCTTTTACTGTGCGGTGGTAGAGTCCGCTGAGCGCGGCGATGGCGCCGATGCAGCCAGTGCCGTAGTCGGAGATGGGGAAGGGAGGCACAACGGGCTCGTCCAGTCCCATGAATTTCCCTTGCGCCCATGCCACTCCGCTGACCTGGTCTGCGTATTAGCCCGGAAACAGAAAACACCAAGGGGTTCTCATCTGCAGCGCATCACTTACACAGTCGGCAATCTGTTGCCATCCGGGTCGGTTGGCCCACTCGCCCTGGTAGCCAAAGCAGTTCTCGTTGACGTAGACGATCCCTTTCCCACGAGCCTCACCAAACTTCGCCAGTGCCTTCGCGCCGTATCCTAGCCTGTCCAGAGCCCCGGGTCTGTAGCCATCAACAACAATATCGACGTCCTTCAGCAGCACCTCAAACGCCTTCTTCCCCTCAGCACTCTTCAGATCGATCTCGGTCGCGTGCTTGCCCATGTTTCCGTCGACTTGGAAGAAAGGCACGTCGCTGAGCCCCGGTCCCGTGACCTTGATGACATCGGCGCCGTACTCGCCCAGAATACGGGTGATGGTTGGCCCTGCGATGATGCGGCACATCTCAAGAACCTTGATGCCATCGAGGATGCGGGGGTTCTTTGGCGAAGGCGCCGGCAACGGTACTGGGGGGGTTGTGCTCTCGAGGTTGTCAACGGTCCATGCTGGTTTGCCCACATTTGCAATTCCCTACGTTATGAGCGTTAGCAACGTAGGCAATATGACAATTTAATTTATAATAAAATCTTAAAAACCCCTATACGTACGTGTGGCGTCTTGCAAAAGTCCTCGTGTTTCAATGCTGGGACACCAGCCTGGCCTAGGCTTGCGTTCTTCTCCTCGAGCTCTTTGACCGTAAATTGTCGGACCGCGGGTTCTATGCAGGCAACAATATCGCTGTGGACCTGCAGTTCTGGCTTGAATGCCGGGAGCCCAATCATGTTGAGCGTTTTTGTTGCCTCGAGGGAGCCATGAATGTGATAGTATTGTCCTGGGTCTTTGGTCTCGTACAAGTTCGCGGACATGCGCCGGTACGGGTTCGACTGGGCCTGCAGATAATCGGTGTCTGGTAAAGGCACATAAGTCAGCACAATGGCGGCGCCGTTGCTATGAATCGAGTCACGTACCTTTTAACTTTGCCTTAACGCCCTTGTCCAGCTTTCCCAGCCCATCCACCGTTGCGAGATATGCTTGGAACAAGAAACATGTTGCTCGTTCCAGATCGATCTTGACTTCTCGCGGCTTGGCACCAAATTTGAGACCGGCCAATGCAGCTGCAACGCTGGCTTCCACAGCCTTTAGCGCTGCTGCGGTCTCAGTCTCTTTGAAGGGGATTGGGAAGTAGATGCGGTCATGTTCTGACACAATCTTCACATTAGGGGCGACATCTTTCACAGCCGGCGGGAGGCCAAGCTGCTCGGCTTGCTCGCACAGGAGCTTGTAGATGCGTTGGGCCTCGCTAACGGGGGAGTATGCAGGCGCCATATTGGAAATCGAGAGAGAGAGAGAGAGGGAGAGCGAGAGAGAGGGAGAGCGAGAGAGAGGGAGAGCGAGAGAGAGGGAGAGAAGGCTGAAAAGAGAGTTGTATAAAGGCAGAGGAGGGGTGGGATGGGAAAGGCGAGGAGAGTTAGATCGAGGCTGCTCGATGGATCAGGCTCAATGACAAAGGCCCAAGGCTGCGAAGGCTATTCCAAACAGCAGCTGGTTGTATTACAAGGGAGGGCCAATGGCCGGCTATCAATCAGCGGGCGAGTGAAAGAGTGGCGCCCCGAATGACCGGATACTCTGCTCCATCATCCATGTCACGTCCGCCCTGTGCCGACCGCACAGAAGCGTGACGACTGGAGATTACACGGCTGGGAGACGGGAGACGGGAGACGGAGCAAGGTTCGGCTATTGTGAGGCCACGGACGGCTAAGGGTTAAGGGTTAAGGGTCAAGGGTCAAGGGTTAAAGGGGGGATGTGCGGAACATGGGCGTCTGGGGTATGCTTCCTTGAGGGTTGGCATTGACGGATGGGGGCCGATCGATCAAGTGCGCGGGGCGGGGAGGGAACAGTACTAAGCCAGGAAGACCGACGCGGCGACGACACAATTGAAGCAATCGCGGGGCCCATGATTGGCGGACGTAGGAAGAGCGGAGGGCGGAAAGGCGGATGAGGCTTCAGAAGTCGGAAGATGCTGCGGAACCAAGAAATGTAGTCGAGTATCAAAGGAGTTCGACCAGTTCTACCATAAGAGTCGGCGGATAAGACTATACGCAGAATTGGATGGCTCTGGTGGTTCGGATAAGGTTATACGCACTCGAAGTGGTCTGACACGGTCATCAGACCTGGCGTGTCGGATGTGATTGCTTCCAGGGCGAAGAGTCGAAGACATTGATGGAAACGATAGCGCGTCTTGGTGAGCATCCACATCCGATAGAAAGCGTTGTGCGGATGACGGATGACGGATGGCTTGTCGGATATGGGGGGCGGATATGGGCATCGGATATGGGGGCGAGATCGGATAGGGGTGGGATATCGGATGCGGGATACTCTCTCTCTGTCTCTCTCTCTGTGTCAGTCTCTCCTACACGACAGGACAGGGTACCTTACCTTATGCGGGTGAGACGGCGTCCCCCCTTGTTTCTGGTCTGCCCCCCACCCCGGTTCTCCCTGCCCCTCCAACGCCCCTCGTACCCCTCCCCTGCACGTGAGCCCGCCCTCTCGTCCCGCCTGGATTTCCCATCCGACAATCTGATTGCCAGATTATGGGGCATTGGGGCTCGACCTGCCATCCGCTTGGGGTGGCGTGGGCCCCGCCCGTTCCCCTCATATGATCCATCCATACCTGACCTGACCTTCCTTACCACATCCACACTCCCACAGACTGAATCGCATTATTAATCTCTACCCTCTACGGATCCTGCGCGCGCGGTCCACGGAGTTATCCCAGGCGCGTCGGCCGTTGCGCTGCGGGCGGAGCGGCTTTCACATCTCCTGGCGGTAGACGCGAGCCGACTCTCTCCTATAGATAACCGCCTCCAGCTCTGATCTCTCTCCGCATATCCCCTCTCCACAACTCTTCCCATCCCGCATATATACCAGATACCACGTCGCCTTGCTGTTGCTCCTCTCTTCCCTTGCCTCGCATCTGCTTACACTTCCTCACATCTCCTCAATTGCATCCATCGTCTGCCTACCCCTCTTCTCTAGACACTCTACGTCAGCTTCAGTGACCATGGCCCCCTCCGCAACCGCCGAGTTCGATGCCCTGAAACCCACGCCTCACGGCGCCGACAACACCAACAACATCGAGGGTCTCGACCCCAAGTTCACCGCCAATGTCATCAATGCCATCGGCCCCAAGGCCTCTCCCCGCGTGCGCCAGGTCTTCTCCTCGATGATCCAACACATCCATGACTTTGCCCGCGAGAACCAGATCACCGTCGACGAGTGGATGCAGGGTGTCCAGCTCATGAACTGGGCGGGTAAGATGAGTGACGAGAAGAGAAACGAGGGACAGCTCGTCTGCGACGTGCTCGGATTAGAATCGTAAGCTCTCTTCCTACTGGCACACGCCGGAATTGCAGCTGACATGAAGACCCGTGTAGATTGGTAGACGCCATCACCTTCAAGCTGGCTTCCCAAGCTGGCGACACTGCCACAGCGAGTGCCATCCTCGGCCCCTTCTTCCGACACGATGCGCCGCTCCTCGAGAACGAATCCTCGATTGTGCACGGTGTTGACGACGGAGAGGTGACGTATATGCACGGCCGCGTCATTGACATGAAGACCAACAAGCCCATTGCGAATGCCTACATTGATGTTTGGCAAGCTTCCACCAATGGCCTGTACGAGCAGCAGGACGAGAACCAGGTTGAGCACAACCTGAGAGGCAAGTTCAAGACCGATGCCGATGGACGATACGCCTACTACTGCCTGAGACCAACCCCATACCCCGTTCCTAACGATGGTACGCTACCACTTTCCACGTGCGCTGATCTGCATTTGCTAACCCCACCCAGGTCCTGCCGGAAAGATCCTTGAGCTGCTCGACCGACACCCAATGCGCCCTGCCCACATCCATCTCATCGTAAGTTTTGAAGTATCCACTGTCTGTTGCCCATGGCGCTAACTCTTGACGTACAGGTTGTGGCTGAGGGCTACAAGCCAGTTACCACCCAAATCTTTGACAGAATAGACCCTCACTTGACGGACGACTCTGTGTTCGCAGTGAAGGATTCGTTGATTGTAGACTTTGTGCCCATCAAGAACAACCCGAAGGCGACTCTTGAGCTCGAGTACAACATCGCGCTCGTCCCCAACTGAAAGCACGTTTCCTGACGTTCTTTTTTCTACTGTCTGAAACCATTGGCTTCTGGTTGTCAGGGTGCAGGGGAGCATTACTTCTTAATTGATTGCGGGCCCAGTTTGTGTGTCGCAGGTAGCTAGCTTATACACAATTCGCATCTGCTGGAAGATGGCACGGAATATGTACAGGTTGACCCAACCCCACTATATACCTCTAGTTAGGAGAATTGCAAAGCCGAGGACGGTGTAGTTGCTTCCATGGTTTTATCGCATTGTTCAAGTGCGAAAGTGGGTGTATACGTGTTTCCGTGTTTCCGTGTTATCTCCATACGGCAATACTCTCCCTCTCTCAATTAAGCATCAAGTGGCATCTCCACGAAGATAAGACTACAATACCCTCTCTTCCTTATCTCAACTAAGGATTAAGTGGCATCTCTACGAAGACAAGACTACAATTACCCCTCTCTCCCTTATCTCAATTAAGGATTTAGTGGGAGGAGGAGGTTGATTAAGTGGGATGGGTAGAGCCTATTTCCGGATTACCCCCCTATTACAATTACTCTCCACGTCACAAAGCTCCCCATGTCGTATCGCAAGTGCCATCTACCGCTTCCCCGCACCCGGGGGTCCGTCGGATGTTGCACCCCCGTGGCGCTAAAACCCCCGCGACTCGTCTTAGCTCGTCCGGAGGAAACCTGGGGTTGGCCACCCGCTGACCCCAGACATCCCCGAGTTTCCTCCGGCCGACCTGAGGTATCCGTCCTACGAGCAACGACATTGCAAATGCAGTTGATGTAAAAGGGCCGTCAGCTAGTGGGACGTCCTGCTACACCTTACGGCATGTTGTGTGTGGTTATACCTGTGTGGTTATAGCTGTCTGTCTCTTGCACCACATCTCGCTCGAATTATAATCGCAATGTGGACGTCAGAGAGGCGTCTGCGGGTACACCGTGCGTGCGATGGATGTAAGAAGAAGAAGAAGCAGGTACGTGGGCTACCCGGCCTGTCTCTGCCCTCTGTTATAGCACTGCATGGCGGTTTTCTCATAACCACACGTTCTGGTCCCGAACCTGGATGGCCTCGCATCATGCACGCCATGGCGATTTCTCCCTTGTCAACCTCATTACCCCTGAGCTGACTCCCGCATTCCCCTGCTGTAGTGCTCACATACAGAACGCTCACATACACGTTCCACCAGCGCTTCTCGCTCTGTTGTTCAGGAACAATGCATCGTCTCCAGTGAACCGGTCTCGAAGAATGAGGAACAGCGCCCTTCCACCAATCAATCGAGGATCAAGTCCCCAAAGAGGAAATTTCAACCGCTCGAACCCGCTCCCTCTAAACCAGAGACCCCCGCGCCGCTAGATCTCCCAGATGAAAATGAACTACCCAAGGACCCCGCCGCTGAGGACGAGACCCCGATACAAAACGCTGGACGTTTACTACAAGATGGCGGTGGACGGTTGTGTAAGTCTCTTGGCCAGATGGAGTGCGTCTACTGACATCTCGTCTAGTGTATGTGGGCGACTCAGCAGCTTTATCATTCCTTCAGAGTATAAGGAGGCTTGTCGAGGGCAGCTTAGGTGCGTCCCCCTTTACGACGGACCCGAATCGCCACAAACTTGTCGAGGCATCGATCTCGACGCCGCCTGGATATCGGCATTCTTGCGTCCTGCCAGATCTTGAGACCGCGCGTTATCTGACCGATTCCTTCTTCGACAACGTAAGCACCCTCGAACTTCCTGTTTCGGGAAATTATTCTGAACTGGCAGCGGTGCTAACACTCTACTAGACAGTAGGCCTGGTTGAGATATTCAATCGTGTTGCATTTACAACTAGGCTTCTTGAGTCTTACAATAATCCTTTAGACGCGGATCCTCAGTGGTTGTGCCAGGTAAATCTGGTCTTTGCGGTCGGGATGCAAATGCGCAGAGGCAAACCTTCACCCTTCTCTCCGGAGGGCAAGATACTCGAACGACTCGAGGCTCGCGGTGTCAAGAGGGCCGAGATCTTCTACTTGACCGCAAAGGAGCTCAAGGATCCGGCTTGTGACCTTGAAGATGGGAATTTTGGAGCAGTTCAATCCCTCTTGCTGATGACTATTTTCATGTTGACCGCGGCAAAACGGAATACGGCGTGGGCCTTCTTAGGTATGTGTTGTTTGATCTGCTACCGTGACTATTCCTGTCTCTCGGCATAGAACTTGCTAGCGTTGTGAGAGAATACACTTTATTAATGATTCTTTAATCTAGGTATGGCAGTAAGATTGGCATATGCCCTTGGCATCCACAAGGAAGAAACTCTTTCCATATTCCATCCAATAGAGCAAGATACCCGGTACAAGTTGTCTCCTAACGCAAGAAAGGAACGAGCTGATCATACTTAGCCGCAAGTTATGGCAGTCTTTATACATCATGGACTGTTTCCTATCTGCGAGTTTAGGCAGGCCAAGTGCTATTACCTCCGGGTGCGTCTCCGAGTTGTGCCCTACCACATCACTGAATCAATCAACGGAGGAAAACATCCATACTATCGACTTGCTCGCCTCCACCGACGCATCCAAAATCACAGGTGAAATTCTCACTCGCGTCTACCATAAACGCAAGGCTTCTCGTTCCATCGCCTACGCCCTATCGTTGCGCTTCAGCGAATGGATGAAAGAGCTTCCGATGAGACTACACTGGAGACAGATCTTACTTGAGCCTGAGAACCCGCAACTGACATTAAAGCGTCTCCATATCAACTTGATTTACTTTCACGGAGTTATCCTTCTTACCAGACCATTTCTTCTATACCAGATTAGTCTACAGCTCAAGCGGACTACCAACCCACCCACCACATCAACACCTGAACCGCAAGAGCAAAACGGGCACAGCGGAAACGGGAAGCCCGAGCAGATGTTTTGCTTCCATGGTGCTTGCGTTCGCTCAGCAATCCACACCATCACTGCGGTGCATGCTGCATTTATGTCGGATGCGCTCCCAAAGAGAGATCCATTTGTAATGTACGGAGTCATCTTCTATCAGCGTTCTAATCCCCGTTCAATTATTGCCATCAACACTAAGAATTCTCTATAGATACTACCTCTTCTCAGCGACCCTCGTCATCTTGGCCAACACGTTCTGCTGCGTATATTACGAGCATGACAGCGAAACAGCCACCCACATGGCCCTGAAAGTATTCGAGTTCTGCGCCGAAGCCGACCTCCAAGCTCGCCGCTACTACGCGATCCTCAAATCGTTCAACGACACACTACAGGCCAGCCGCACGTCGACGCTGTCTGTCAGCGGGGCTCCAGATCGCCGGAGCATCTTCAACGTCCTATTCGGCAGTGGGAACAGCCAGACGGATATCGACCTGGCAGCCGCCGAGAACATCCTGTTCCCGGGCCCGCTGGGAGAGATGGGGGTAAACCGTACAGCGGCATCGGTGCAGAGGGACGGCCACCAATATGACAACATGGGGACGAATAAGATGGAGCTGGATGTCCCATGGCCGGTGACTCTCCCTGAGGGATCCAAGGACGCGATTAATTTCCATGATATCTGGTGGTCTGGAGGTCAGGATAACTTCACGCTGGAAAACGATGTCCAGATTCCTCTCTATGGGCTGTTGGAGAATCCCTGAGTCCTGCTTCTTCTCTAACTCCCCGCCCTTTATCTCACATGAGACGTTCGCTTTTGGCGCTCTTGTAAGCGTCTCATGCCACCACGGCTCTGATGAATCGATCCGTGTGACGCACCCCTGAGAAATCGATGCATAAAAGCTCTCTGGTTTCTATATCCGGGCATACAATGAATATCACGCAGGATGGGAGGAGGACAATACAAACGCCCCAACGAGCGCCTCTACTATCCAGCTCATTCGCATCAAATCAATCACCACATCGTCTGCCCTCCCAATCGTCATCACTCACTCCACCTTCTATCGAAGAATAGATACATACATACTAGGGACCACCGCATGAGTCTGTCTGTCTATCCGACTCGCACTCATCCGCTCCCTCTATCCTACCTACCCAGCTAGCTACCTACCCAGCTATCTAAACAAACTCTCTCTTCGCACCCCACTCCCCCTCTCTCAAACCAGTCAAACCATCCATCACCTTCCATCCATCTATCCATCTATCTCCTAGATAGCCCCGAGAGAGAGAAGAGTCTAGGATTCAGGATCGGAACCCATAGTTTAGATATACTCTGGTTCTTCATGATAATTGATGATGATGAGTAGGATGAACAAATGAACGTGTGGATATAGGTATAGCCTAGATAAGGTACATTATGTATATATACCTATAGACCGAGCTCGAGCTCTCTGAAGAGAGAACTGGGTAGCTAGAATTAGATAGCTAGGTAGAAAGGAATGAAGGGATTATATTATATATATATATCACAATCCCATCCCATCATCTCTCCTCACCTCTCCTCTCATCCCATGTATCCACACACACACGCACACACACATACTCACTAAGGTATTCCTTCCTTCCTGTACCTTTCCTTACCTATACATACTAACCCTCCCCCTCCCCTCCCCTCCCCCCCAAAAAAATTCAAAAAATTAGATCAAAAACAGAATTTTGCAATGGATATGGAATGGAACGGGGAATCGATGTATATATAAACTGAATAGCCCATTCTATTATTTGATTTTTCTTTTTGAGCTCCGTGATTCTCTAACCTCTTTCTTTCTTTCTTTCTTTTAGGGAGATGTTAATGTTATAGTTCTGGAACGGAACGCTGCTAGAGCAGGAAGTGGACAGAGGACAGAGGAGAATGGGGTGAGTTATAGATAGGGAAAGAAGGGAGGGGGGGATTAACAAAATTTCAATACCATAATCATGATATACTTTACTTCACAACACGACGTGACTGACATTCCATGATGTGAATTAATCCATTTCGATTCCTCGGCCCCACTCCCACTTCTATAACAGTCCTCATGTGGAAACCAAGTTCTATACATACATACATACACATACATACATACACGCCCCAGCCAGCTATGCAGAAAAAAAAAAGAAGAAAACAGTACGGTGAGAAGAATCCAGACTTTGTAGACGGGACGGGGAAACGAGTATCTCCGCGCGTGCGTGTCTGGGGGAAAAAAAAATACAGGGGCTCCAAGCTGGTGCGGATAGGATGGATGGAAGAGTAGAGTTGGGTGGTTCGAGGATTGTCAGGGGGGTCGGATGACAGTTTGCTGATTTATTTTTCTTGGTTTTCCTTTTGTATTGGGGAACAAGGGACATTCATTATGCGACGGCTGGGAAGCCGGTTTTGCCTGATTCTGATGGCGGGGGTTGGGGTGGTAAAGGTACCTAAAAGATTGTCAGTACTGTCTGTCGGAGTCAAGAATGGACGAGGGGGAAACGAACATCAAGCCTTGTGTTCTCAGCCATCATTCTCTGGAATCCAATTCCCACTCCCTCGATAACAGCCAGGAGACATGCACATCCTATCGCTGAGTTTCGAGCCGCCTTCGCTCCTCCTCTGATTGCTAGTGCGCCTCCAGTGAAGAATCCTGCGATGACTATTATCCAAGTCAGTATTCGCCTCCTGGACATCACCTCGTCGCGTCCCGGCATCCTCCCATGGCGTTCCGAGCTGACCGGGAATGTGGTAGGTGACATACTAGCATTATACGGATCCTCCTTCTTCCTAATCCCCTTGATTGCACAATCGAACGTTGAGAACAAGCCTCCCCAAACACCGAAATTTCCTCCCAGCACCGGCGCTCGCGCTTTTATAGCTGTGAGGGCGCCGATCCTTCGTTCACCATACGGTGAGTTACGGAAGCCTTTCACTCCATGCCAGACTGCTCCTCCAATTGCCTATTCCACCGGACATGTATCAGTATGTGTTATTTGCGGTGGTGAAGATGGAGCGGATGCAAGATGTGATGTGGCTCTTGCCGGCCAAGCTCCTGGCCACGAACGCGGGACTGGGAATATGGATGGAGGAGTACATACACCCATACAAAACGCTCCTCCGAAATCATTCAGCGCCACCCAGGGGCAGGGGTCTCGTGTGTGATCCATCTTCTATAATATCTGGATGATTCTGCCTCGGGCCTCGGGGGCTCCTATCTTCTCTCGAACGATGGTGTAAGACTCCGCCGGGCGGAGTGTATGATCTAGCCGCAGTATTCGGATGGAAATAAGTCGGTAGACGAGCGGATGGGAAGAAGGGGCGGGCGTTGGCGGTGCTGTATCGTTTGTCTGATGTTGACATTGATCTTGAACTTTTTCGCTGCTGAGGCAAGGAACTGCGCTAAGAGATTTTGGGGCTAAACTGAAGTGGGAGATGTCACGTGCCTTCCGCCTTTCCATCTGTCGACTTCTCGAGGCGACACCGAGGTATCAAGAACATCCCAACCTGACTTCTTCCACAGCATCTCGGCGGTGTTCACGCTGTTTGGGATGGAAAGAGGTTTGATGTTTAAGATGCAAAGATGTAAGCCCAAGCGTCCAAGGCAATTCCCTCGGCGCTGGCAAGTCGGCTCGAACGGCTCTCTGTTGTGTTTGAGATTCAAGATCCTCCAAGCCTTGGGGTAACATTATCTGGGCCAGTTTAACTAACGTTTCCATGAATCTTCCAGATTACATAGACGGGGTTGTGTTTTGAGTCGCCATGGTTGATGGGACGGTCTCGACCATCCTTGGTGTACATCATCGCGTCCAACTACCCTCCACTGCGTGCATTTAAATATCAGACGCTCCCCCCATTGATCACTTTCACCCAATCAGGTTCTGAAACTTCATCAGTTGTTCGTCTGATTCTTGGGTTGATCGGGGTAGCCAGCCCGTGTGTCGTGTTGCCGCCTGTGTCATGTTCGCTCCTGTATCATGATCCCGCCTCGCCGGGGGGCGAAACCTAACGGGAATGAACTGTGCGAGGGGTATTAGATAGCCGCAGGCCAAGAACGGATGAAGCTCTACAAGTGCAAGTGCAGTATTCGTGATTCATCATCTTGACGTTCATGAGCTCCATTTTTCAGACTTTTTGCATGGCTTCTGTCGTCGTGACGGGTTTTGTGCATTGACAGGAGGCCTGATAGTACCATGCTAGGAGTTGGCTGATATACCCCGTTTAATAAAGGTTTCGAGCTGTTGAATTACCCAAAAGTATGCATGTGATGACATATATGTGACGGGAGATAATATACCTACCTAGGTACGTGAAGAGAGGCAATTTCGCACAATGCTCAGGAGTGGACGGCTTTGGCAATCACGTGATGTACCTGCTCATGGCGGCGCTCACTGAGTTTCAGTCTAGTGACTGGTACTCATATTCACACCCCAAACATCTCATACCCATCTACACACCTAAGGAAACCCCTTGGTCAAAGATCAGGATTACTTGTATATCATGGCCTCAATCCCTGCTCTGTTTGGAAGGCGTTTGAAGCCTATTCCGGTTCAGTCCCCGCCGTTCCAGCAGCGCAAAAGGCATATCAGAACCAACCAGCCCGACGCAGTACATAACCATGCACCACTGACCTTGCTCAATCATGGTGCTGCAGCCTGCGAGTGCAGGGCTCGAGATATCGCTCTTGTGAATACGATGTACGGTATTGGTTCTATGGAGCTACGTGGCAGGGCTTGAAGAACCATCCAATTGCTACGGAGAGCCTTACACCCTTGATAATAGTGGGAGTATCATGTAAGATGCGGCTGTTATGACGCGAATTTTTCATTGGGTGGTATACGTGCGGGCGGGGTTGATGAGGCTGAGAGAATGGGGGGTTGTACTTGTACTTGTAGTTATGAAAATGACATCGGTCTCTCATCAGTCCATGCAGCAGTTTATCTTGCACCGGAAAGCTGTAATAGACCCAGGTATGATTTCCGTCCGAATGCTAAGTCCAAGTGCAATGGGACAGCCGAGACCTAGAAATATATTTTATTGGGGTACAAAACGAAGCATAAGCTCCGTCCAGTCAGACCTTACTTCTACTGGAGCTGCAACTACCCTCAGAAACCAACCTCCCACTTCTTATACTCATGCGTCGTCCTTCTCTTCCTCTTCTCCTTCTCAATTGACTCCATGATGCCATCCGTGCACGCGCCGAATCCGAACCGTGACGTCCAGAGCTTCGACAAGCGTGTGAAATGTAGGAATTTCCGTAGCAGGAGCTGCGCAAGGAGGCGGAATTCGGTGTTTAGGGCTAAGCCTAGAGAGACACAGATTATGACGAAGGATACAGGGTCTATGGGTGGTGTTAGAAGCGGGGTGGAGCTAAAGAGGGAGTGCAGTTACACATGATAGCTGAGTAGAATCCGATGGAGTGGTCGGCTGAGAGGAGCTCCTTTGCCTGCTGAGGTATTAGCCATGTGGTAGCCTTTTGGCTGTGGATACCCAGATGGTGCTCTGGGTAACGTACATTCATCCCGAATAGACCGGTGAAGAATGAGAGAGGAAGCTACATTCTATCAGCGATGGCTAGTCAGGGTCAGGGGAGCGGTCCCGGTTCTTACGAAGATGATTGTCACAATCGTGAAGATCATAATGCTCCAGCCCTGCTTGACAGTCTCGTAGGCAAGGGATGTGGAGGCTTCAGCTTGGTCGGCCGAGGCTTTAGCATCCTTCCTTGCGGAGCGAGCTTCGATGACACTTGCTTGTTTCTGTTTCAGATCCAGTAGGTCTTGCAACTATAGAAGTCAGTGGCAATTCAATCGGAGATTGGAGGGCTATTTAGAAGTGGTAATGCTCACGGCGGTATACGTAGATTGGGCCGTCTTCTGAAGCGCCTCGATCTGGTTTCCGAGCCGGGTGCTGTCGTGGAAATCTTTATCCTGTGTTTCCGGGGACTGATGGAGCATATCCATCATGAACGGCTCCATGACGGTCGCTTGCTGACGCCCGACAGAACTGATGATGTTTAGCTCGTCCAGGATATCTTTGATTTCGCTGACGAGATTCGTCTCGGTGGTGATGTCGAAAACATCGTCCATGACCATCTCAGTGTACCATTCCAGTGACTTGGTGGATGCGTCCACGAGGCAGTTCAGTTTCCGATTCATCGATTGCGTCTGGAGAACGTTACAACGGGCTGCTCTGCACTTGTTTCATTACTTACGGAATGAGCTTCCCCGATGAGTATCTCGAGCTCTCCGAAGCGTGACATAAGACAGTCCAGTATCTGAGCCTCGAGATCTGAGTTCGTAAGACCTATCTATGAACATGTCAATAAAAGAATTCAGTACTAGTGAGGCGACTTCTCATTTTCCACTTACATTGCGAGCAGTAGCGATTGTTTCTTCGAGCTCGTTGTAGGTACTTTTCAAGACGTCTTCCTGGGTAGACGTTAGCAATTGTACCCCGTTCGGTTGGGGGCTTTCTAGATCATGGCCACTCACCCAAAACTCGTTGTCTATAGAGGAAAGAGTATTGCTGCTTGTAGGTCGTAAGGTTGAATCTTCATTGTAAGAGCTATAGACTGGAGTACTCGGTTTCTCGGCCTCAGTATCACCGGCAATCTCCTTGAGGTATATATTAACAGACGGTCGTGAGAGCCAAACAATTGAGGTGCAGTAAGGATCCATACCTTGAACTTCTCCCTAAAGTCTATGGCAAACCGTCGGAAGTTCAGCTTCCATGTCTTGGGCTGTAATAACACATGTTAGCAAAGCCGGCGAATAGGATATCAGCCGTATCATACTTGGTTAGTTACAAAATTCTCTTTCTGAAATGTTACCAGCGATGCAAAAAGCTTTCCCATCTATAGATGAATCCGTAAATTAGCTCGCAGATTCTGGCATGACCTAAATGGAGACTCACATTATTTGCATTGTGTGCAGCCTGGACGTTACTTCTAAATGCATCAAATGCCTTTGTTTGATTGAAAGTCTGACGAAATCAGTGACTGTTCAAAAGGAGATCAGTTGGATTATCATTAACTTACAATCTCGTTAATTTCCATCTCAAACATCTGGATGAATTGCAGATGAGGATGAAGGTTTCGTTTTTGAAATACTCCTCGGGCTTGATCGGCTATTGTCCATGCGAGATCAAGTGCTGATTTTGCAGTCCGCTGGCCATAGTTGGTTTTATGTCGCAGTTCTCTCTGGACTGCCCTCCAAATATCTGTAGAATCGTACAGTTCATCCCCTTTCATATAGTCCTCGCTGCTCACGGAATCATCCATCGAGAGCTCTGATTTAGCCTTCGATGGGAAACTTGTTATTACGGTATCTGTTGCTTGCAATCAGCATGTTCTTATGAAGCTTAGCCTACTGTTCAATAATACTCACCGCCATCGACTATCCACATCCACAACTGGTTGACCATCATTACTTTGGGGGGGTCCCAGGATGGCTCTACCTTCTTCTTTTCTTGTTTCTCTCCCTCATCCGAAGTTTTGAAACTGTTTTGGGACCCTCGGGGCGTCTGCACCTTCCTTACCTTCTCCCTCTCCCTCTCCCTCTTTTTAGCTTTCGCTTCCTCTTCCATTCTCCTTCTGTGCTGTTTCTTCGCAAATTTATAGACGACTTGATCTTCAGTTCGTTCATCAGCCTCTGTCAGGGTACTGTAATAGTATTGATCCAAAGTCCTCCGAATGTGTAAGCAACGGTCACCAATAGGATATAAGAATGCTCGCAATACTCTCATTTTCATGAGAGACTCCATTCTCTCAATATCCTCGCATGATGGACGCTGATAGTCAGGATCTTTGAATTCCTCATCAAGTCTCTTGATCACCTCATTCCTGTGATTCAGGTTCTCGCCACTAGTTGCCCAATGCAGATAAGGCATCTAATATATATCAGCAAAGTTCCTATACTTGGACAAAATCAAAATCGTAGAGCCTAGACTCACAAAAAGCACCATGTTCACATTCTTTGGTTTGTTGAGAGATGATTTCAAACCAGATAAGAATTCAGTGTTAAGGGGTATTTTGGAGCCCTGGAAAATTGGCGTCCTTGAGGGAGTCGCCTCTTGAAAACTTGTCGATTCAGTGACAGGGGCTACTACAGAAGCTGTTGCAGTTTCCCAATCTGTTTTTTCGTCAGCTATTAATTGCTGTAGTTAACTTTCCGAGCCTAAGTTAAGATTCAAAAACGTTCCGAGTCAGAAACTAGAGTTGCACATACCGGTGGGAATTTCCGCAAAGAACGGCACCATATGTCGCGAATAGAGCGGATGGTTGGCGCAGTGCTCGAGACACCCACGCTGTTGATCTTGCCAGTACTTGGGGTTCAGAATATCTCCGGCCCTCAAGCACTTCAGCCCTTTCATATTATTCTTGCCTCCCTTCGTGTTTTTCGAATCGGCCATTTTCTTGGCCTCCTTTTTATTCTTTGATTCGCAGACTCTCTTCATGACTTCCTACGAGAAGGTTTTGTGAGACAGAACAAACCTGGAAAATCGGACTGATGCTTCATACCTCAACCCAGATCATGTTATTTGTGGGGATATGAACCCACCGGTATTTGTAACCACGAGCAGTCAAAGGAAGGTAGTTTTGACCCGGCGCATCCTGCCTGTAAGCCTTTTCCATGATTTGGTCAGCATTACCACGAAGAATCTCATCCAGAGGCATAAATTGTGTAATGTAATCATGATCGAAGAAATCCACAATCGGTGCCTCCATCCCGAAAGTCCAGCCCTCCGTGCATTCTGTCGCCTGGCCTATCGAAGGCGACCGTTCCTTTTTGATTTGACGCCAGAGCGTTGGGGAGGCGGGACCTCTTGATGCCATTTTCAATCGGTCTGTGAAACGGTGTCCTGTTTTCCACCTTAATATTCATAGGATCGCACTCGACAATTGTCTCTTACCTTTGGATCGGATTGCAAGGGGTATCTTTTGGATTTATGCCCACCGAAGCTTCCCCGCGGTGCATAATCGCCCAATGAAAACCACGGTGCAACCCTTTTCTGCAAGGCGCCATGGTATTGGCCAATTCTGATTATGAGAGTATACTCCGTATATGTACTTTGTGAGAGCTGTGTGGGATGTGGTTCCACACGTAGGTGAGCCATGCGTCTGCTCCTAGTCAACAGCCACGAACTCCATTTGAAGGCATCAATGTTCGTACAGGAGGACAAGGGTGAGTAAGGCTATGAGGGTAGCTGAACGAGTGCAACCTGTACAGCTGTCCACTTTTGGCAAGCCGCAATCCCCGCTCAGCTCGCCCAGTCCAATGACTTTTTTCTCCTCTGGATTGCAGAATTTCTGATTTCAAATATTTGCGCCACGGGTATGGATGACATTCCTATTCCCACGCAGAGCGCTGCCTATCTGTGAGTCGTGACTGGCTAGACAGGTTCATTGGTCCGAAATACTGACACCCCACTGCTGTACTGGGTATGAAACTGGCCGCGTGCCGTTGAAAGAGCCTCCTAACCTTGAGGTTGCTCCAGACCGAGGTCGCCCAGGGAGACTGACAGTTGCATTCATCTCTCGATCGTTGCTCACAGGACTTGCTCTCAAATTAACACTGCATTTCTATTAGGACGGTAATGATGAACGCAGTTACGCAGATGATCGGACCCGCCTGACGATGACATTTGGTCGTCGGCTTCGCCGGTTAACCTTCTGCAACTCTCGGGCCGTACCGTACGCCGGACCGACCTGACCATTGCAGCATTGCGGGCGACCATCACGACCAAATCCTGTATATATACGCATAGGTAGGTACATATATAGGTGTAATATATACCTAAGGTACTCTCAATATGTTTGTTGGTAAAGCGCTCTAGATCCCTGGGTTAGAAAACCGTACAGATGATGCAAATAGCTGCCTTTGTGTCTGGAGTTAGCATTCAGGTTACAACAAGGTGGTATATATCATCTTGTATATGCAACCTTACCTTCTGGAGTTCTGCATATGAGGTATATCAAGATAACAGGACAATCCCCTCGAGAGTCTCAAACCTCTACAAAAGCTCCTTGCCTCCGTATATAGCATACCTTAGCTTACATAAAATACTGGTGATTCACGTGATACAAAGTCACGCTTCCGAGGCGGTTTTGTTGCACATCGCAATGCTGGCATTACTTCTTCATGGGCTACTATGGGCTGAATTTTCTCAAGGGGGGTGCGGGGGATTTGATGGGCGCTTAATCTCTTGAGAGGAAGCTGAAGAGTTATAAGGATTTGGCTATTACAGATGTCACTCTTGCACTTCTATCATTCCCTACTCCATATAGCTGCCTACCTTTACCTTACCTTACTCTTCATTATTGGTCCTCCTCCATCCACCTGCCCCTAGCCAGCCATGGTCCCTCGTCAAGACGCGCTACCGAGCTTATAAAAGCATCACCATCACCATCACGGCTCAACAGCGACAACCACTTATGTGCAGTCCAATCGCGCTCAACCTGTCGAATGTACCTACCGTCCCATGTTCGGGTCGGCCAGCCGCCAAGCGAAAAGATCGGTATCAGATCACCTGCAGCATCCCGTTTCTCCTGTATCATATCGGACGGATTGATCTTCGGCACCATCATGAAGCGCCAAGCGTGTCATCCTTCAACCCTCAACCCCCTCGTGTTTGGCCTCCCTCAACCCACGGGAAAGAAGCCCATGCCAAAGTTTGTTTTCATCCCACCCTCGTGTACTGTTCAGGTCAACTCTAAGCGGAGGACCTCGATCCTGAAACTGGGGATACTGCTCAGTCTTCTCATGAAGCAAAGTTGCTGAGGCACGCGGGCAGTACCAGGGGCTGGGTCGACCTTCACACTGTCTGGACCATCGGCGTCACGGTTCTCGACCGCGTCTAGCTCATTTCCTTTGGAACAACGCCTGGGCGAGCGAGGATATAAATGTGATGAGAGCCCGTCTGACTGATTTTATTTCTTCCTCATCGGTTCTATCGACCCACATTCTTTCGTGCTCTCCATTACATTCTTTCTATCCCTTACCTTTATTCTTTCGTTTCTTCACGACTGTGTCGCGCAGGTATTTGCCTTGCAAATCATTACTCGAGGCTGGTCCAATTTAACAATTCTACAATATTTATTTTTTGAGCTACGGAAACCACCACACCTCCTCAACATGTTGTCTTCATCGTTCCTTCTTCTCCTCGTATCAGCTGGACTCATCGAGGCTAGCCCTCTACAGGAGGTTGGACCTCTCAACAAGCTTCGTCTGCGGGCTTCAGATGCTACCGCTACCACCTTGAGTCCAGATGCCGTCCAGAGTGGGTCTTTCAATGACGGGAGTAACGAGATCGGTGCAGCAGAAGTTGGCCAAGCCAAGTCTCTCACTTCGAAAAACAACTTCATCAACTACTGTGCTGGCAAGACCCTCACCAATGGGCTTCAGATCACCACGGGATCTTGCAATGGGATCAGTACGTCAATCCGTCTAAACGTTGCGTGCCGTTCTAACCTTTCCCAGCTATGGGTGATATCCCTGCAAAATCCGCCATGGTATCTTCAATTATCACATTCCCGCTCCCTGGCAGTGCAACCATCGAATCAGACACTACCTTCAATATCACTGTCCAGATGGCTAATCTGGTCGCCGGATCCTTCACAAATGCCGATGCTACTTATTACTCCGCACCACAGCAGCTTTCCGGCGGCAAGGTCGTAGGTCATACCCATGTGACCGTTCAGGACATGGGATCTAGTCTGAACCCTACAAGCGCTCTCGACCCTACTCAATTTGCATTCTTCAAAGGAATCAATGATGCTGGAAATGGAAAAGGTCTTCTTACTGCTCAAGTCACTGGCGGACTACCTGCCGGCCACTACCGCGTCTGTACTATGGCATCGGCTTCTAATCACCAACCTGTGCTGATGCCTGTTGCTCAACGAGGAACCCCTGATGACTGTACCAAGTTTACGGTCATCGGAAAAGGAACTACTGCAAATGCTGCGAGCAACAATGGGTCTGGGGGACAGGCAGCAGCTGCACTGTATGTATTGTCCTGAACTCGTTTGTCATCTTTGGTTGTTTATCAGCAAGACTGACTTTGACTTAGGGCGGCCTCCGCCGTTGCAGCCGGTCCAGATGTTGCTGAGAGCACAAGCTCTTCTTCTTCTCATACTTCTTCAACTTCTACTACATCTTCCAGTTCCTCTACTACTACTTCATCTAGTAAAAATGGGAAGGGTGGAAATGGGGGAAACGGTGGTGCGAAAGCCATCTCAGATGAAACCAAATCAAGCACTACCTCATCATCAACTTCCACTTCGTCTTCGTCTTCGTCCTCAAAATCAACATCAGCCTCTATCTCATCATCATCGTCATCATCCTCCTCAACAACGACCTCAACTTCCTCTTCGTCATCAAAATCAACATCATCTTCAACGATCTCAACCTCAACCTCAACCCCGACGGCAACCTCTGGCATTTCAACAGACACGTCTAACTCCTCCGGGTCTGATTCTTCTACAAAGGAAATCATAACCATTCTTGAATCTTTCTTCGAGTTCGTCGAATCAGCCCTCGGCGGAGCTGTCCCACAGGTTGGAAAGTCCGAGTCAGATTTCAGATTTAACGTGCTGGGTGAATTCTTCGAAGATCTCCCTTCTGCGGCAGCCGCATCTTGCGGGCACCAGTTCAACAGTTGTATGGGCTTTGCTGGGTCCGGCTTTACCGAGGAAGACTGCGCCAACCAGAGAGATACGTGTGCTTCCGCCGCTGCTACGCAACTTGCAACTGCTGCGACACCAGCCATCATGACTGCTACTCAAGTCCTTCCCGTAACGGCTTCGGTGACTGTTGGACAGGCTATCGCTACGTCCACTGCTTCCAGCATTACGTCCACTGCTTCCAGCATTACGTCCACTGCTTCCAGCATTACGTCCACTGCTTCCAGCATTACGTCCACTGCTTCCGGCACTAAGACCATTGCTTCCAGCACTACGCCCACTGCTTCCGGCACTACGACTACTGCTTCTAGCACTACGCCTACTGCTTCTAGCACTACGCCTACTGCTTCTAGCACTACGCCTACTGCTTCTAGCACTACGCCTACTGCTTCCGGCAAAAGTTCAAGCACCCCAGTTGCAAGCTCCGCTCCGGGCTCCGTTTTGGCTTCAGCGCCCTCACCAGCTAGAACGAGTGCTGCTGCCGTCGCTGGACAACACAATGTTGGACACGATGTAGCTCCCCCCCTGGAGAAAGATGCTCCCACTCCCTCAGCTAGCGACAGTACTGTGACCCCAACTGTCACCGCCGAAGCCCACGGCGCACCCACCCACGCTGCGTGATTGCCAACCGGAAAGACGGTATATTTTGCAGGCAGGGATAGGTGTAGGGGAATGTGTGCGAGAGGCGATGGTGCAAGAGGGTCTAAGAGGGCCTTGGAGGTGTGTAATGTAAGATACGTACGTTCCGGATCATGAAACATGCTCCTATATTTTCATTGTTCAAGCAGGCAAGCGGCGAGAGAGGAAGAGCAAGACGAGTTTTTAAAATATATTCCCAAGTAGATATCCCGATACATAGTGATCCAATTGCAAAGTTTAAATGGCAGTAACCATTTTGTCGGTAGCCCTTGGACTTTTGGCTCAGCAGACTGGGGATATTACATGCTTTTACGGTAGATGCTCTAGTCTTCCTTGCTCAAATTCTTTCCATGTCAGCGCATTTTCAAGTCTACTAGAGCGAATCAAGTGCATCTCGTCTGCTCGTCTCAAGACGTGGAGAATATTCTCCATTTCCCGATCAGTTTGAGACTCCAATGTCTATTCCTCTGGATTATATTATAACCGGGCTGACATATCAATAAATTTAAACCCCTCCCCGATAGTAGTAGTAGTAACATCTTCCTCTATTAAATACCTATACTAGGTACTATAAGAGTTTAATCTAAGTTTTAGTGTACATATAGTTCTACAAGAAGGAAAGAAAATAAAACCCTCTTACTAAGGTGCCGTTACATCGCCGGTCCTTTTGTTATGTCCTTATCTCCTCTACATAAGCCTGTAGATATCACTACAGATATAGTACGCCTTGTATACGCTAGACTACTCCTAGTACTCTACTTTGTTCTTAGAATAGAAATAAGAAAATAATGACTGCCTATAGTTACCTTAGTTCTTGCCTAAGGGTTGTCCTTTATTTGTCTATACACTATTCTTTTAACTCCTAAGATAAAAAATTCTAATCTTACAAGCCTTCTCCTCTCTCTGTATCGTGAATTACTTTTATAACTACCTTAGGTACTAGTTTTGTACTCGTGTTAGGCGTAGCCTTTGTTTGCTAGCTAGGACGTTACGCGGGCTTGTCCTAATGCGGGCCTAGGGCTGTCCTAATTGTTGTCCTAATTATTGTTCTGTGCCGAATCTAGTTTAGTTCCTATCGCCTATTCGGTTACTTACTAGTAAGGGGTCTTTGTTATGTTCTATATAAACATCCTACCTCTTTGCCTTTCTCTTTACTAATTTACTCGTAACCTTTTCCTCCTTACTATCTACTCTTAAATTCTCTTTTCTAAAACTAAATCTCCTAATTGTCCTTTCCTTTAAGATGCCTCGCGCCGCCCCTACTATAACCCTATAGAAGCGGGGACGCGACTACTCCCCTCTACTTCGCTAGTCTACTAGTAAGCGTATCTATACTAGTAAGCCTCCCCGGGCTAGTTCTTCTATAGTAGAGACATATAACGATTCGGCCGATAATCGGTCTATCCTTATACGATCTAACGCTCGTGTCTTAGGTAGATTCGACGATAATAATAATGTTAATAATAATGACCTTTTTACTCTTCTCTAGGGCGGGTCTAGGGTATTTTCGCCCGGCCTCCCTATAATGTTTAGTGCCTATAGATCTACCTCTAGAGAGCTAGAGGAAGGTTTCGCCCGGATTAGTCTAGATACTCTATTAAAGGTTTGTATATTCCCTGTTGTTAGCGCCCCTTATTACTTGCCTATAGACTAACGCTCTTACCTTATATAGCCGAAGCCTGCTAAGCGGCCCGCGCCCGTAGCTAACCCGCGTCCCTCTCTACCCCCTGCCCTTACTAAGTAAGGAAAGGGGAAGGAGGGGACGCTAGCTAAGCTAGGATTAGGAGTAGTACTAGAGAAAGTAGTAGCCTAGCTAAAGTTAAAGCTAAAGCTAAAGCTAAAGACGACGACGACGATAAAGACAGTAGTACAGACGATAGTGATAGTAATAACGATAACTAGGACAGAGATAGAGATAAAGTAAAGAGAGAAGAAGAAGAAGGGCCCTACTAAGGGCATGTATACCTATAGAACTAAGGCTCTACCGCCTCCCTAAGATGCCTCCCTATTAATTTCCCTTATCCGGTCTGTCTGCGCAAAGCGCGCCGCCTTTCTTAAGCAAGAAGTAGTAGCCGTAGCGCGTAGGGCAGAGGAAGAGGAAGAAGAGGAAGACGAGGGTGAGGATAGAGATAAAGATAAAGGAGGAGATGAAGACAAGGATGATATTGATGACCCCTCCCCGATATCGTCCTCATTACTCCCGGTATCGCTATTACTCACTCCATCTCCTAGTCCACGAACGTCTCTACCCTTCCCTCTCTTCCCACTGAGTTTCATTCTCTCCCCATCACGATCCAAGATTTCATACTCTTTAACAATCCTCTCCGTTCGTCCGCTCTCCCATTTCTCTTCTGCCTCTTCAACTAGTTTCTTCAATTCCACTTCTCTCCCCTCCTCATGCTCCTCCAAGCCATCCCCTACACCAGTCTCCCCCCTTTCTTGAGGGATAATATCTGGGATAGAAAGACCCGGATTGCTTAAAGATGATGCATCTTTCAGATCCTGAGACTCAAGGACTGCGTCGATATGTCTAGACACACGACTCGAGAAGCGAGTTTTCGACATGTCAAGATGCAAATTCGACGGCTTGACAGCTCTATTATGGCGGTTTTTTGGGGGGGCCGTCGGTCTATTTCCTTTTGAATTAGCCTCCCTCGATCTACAAACACATCCCTCCCTATTGTAATTTATCCCTTCCGTGTGTGTATTCCTTACTCAGCTTTCACAATAGGCCGTACTTTCAGCCTCCGATTTCCCTGCTGCTCTTCAGTGGCGAGAATAGTGTCTCGGGGGAGGTTTCCTAGGGGTCGTGCACCCCGGCTCCATTTCCGGAATGAGGCTTTGGCGCGCTGGGGTGTGCGCGCTGGGGTGTGCGCGCTGCAGAGCGCATGTCGCGGTCTGTAGAGCCCGACATGTTGCTCTGTGGGATTGGGATTGGGTGATTTGATTATGTTGTGTTTTTTTTTTTTAGAAAAGAATGAGATGGATGTTAAGATGTGAAGAAAGTAAGAAGATAGATCGCCATCTAAGTAATTTTTTTGGGGTGAAGGAGAGGTTGAGAGGGGGTTATATAGGAGGGAGCACTGCGCACGAGATGGAATCATGGAGGCGCAGGTGCTGGGTACCTTACAGTGAGTGTGAATCACGAGCGAAGGGGGTGAGACAGCCGGCGTGAGTCACGCGGGACTTGACGTCAAATCTTTGGTTTGGAGGAGGGAATGAGATTGCGAGATTGAAGGAACACATACCTAATTCGTAGAAACAAGCGTTACATTTCAGATGGTGATTTTTGTCATTTGAATAATCCTGATAAAGGTAGGGGAAGGAAAGAAATAGGGGGGCGCTGTTCCAGTGGTTATGAGAATTTCAGGGGCTGATTCGCTAAAGTTCCCTCGGGTCCTCCTCAACTGGTTCTGGTTCTGTTCAGGCTTCAGGGATGATTAGAATTCAGCTTTTGAATTATAAGCCATGTAACGCCCTTATTATAAGTTTGAAGGGATTGAAATGCCAGATGGGTCGAGAAAAGCCAGTCACAATGGACGATATTTGCAGACTGGAGTAGCTGAAGTCCTTCCGCTGCTTCTAGGGCCCAATCCAACGGATGCCAGAAAAATAAAAACATAGCTGATAAAACAGGAGATCTCTTGCGACGAAACCAAAATGATGAGAATTGACAAGAGAAGAGCAAACAAAATAGCTGGTGAACGTTCGTGTAGATTAAGGAGGGCGCGTTCTCTAGAGAGGCCATGTTAGACTTCTTGCGACCGAAGCTTGCTGTCAGATCAGACCGAGGTCAAAAGATGTCCCAGAACGGATAAGTGGGGCATCGGCGCGCTAACGGTTAACCGTCCTTTATTACCCCGGTACCTGCCTTACCTAAGCGAGTCGCGGACAATTCAAGACGCCTGATTTGTAGACGTCTCTTCATCATTCATTGACCTCAGCTCTTTCAACGATTGTCCATCAAGCAGATGCTGGAATAACGAACTTTTTTTGACGGCCCGATGATTTACCCAAGAAATCATCTCTAGATGCCGGTATTCGTGGAGGCTGGCTCACAAAACCCGAAGGGTGGCGTGTCTGCTGCAAGGCAAGATGAGGCGCATGACGAGCAGGTAGAACAAGTCGATGCGCTCGACGAAACGCATGTCGGAAGCCAATACGGCGCTATCAATTTGGATTCTCATCATGCAGCTCAGGCAATGCATCATCTTCCATCTCCATCACCAACTCCATCACCAAGAGGCTCGTCTTCATCGCTGGCCGTCTCCAACTCAGGTGACGGCACCCTGTATCCTCACCACAATGGCCGGGGATCCAGCGGCTCCTTTGAAAACCCTGCTGTTTCTATTATGGATTCTGCAGAAAATGAGGATCGAGTGCCCTTGTCGCCGTTGCTGGTATCAAAAACCCGCCCGCCACGTGACCTCGATGATATTCCCGAGAAGATCAGGAAGCCGAGCAAGTTATCAATTACCACCAGATCGCATGGAAACGAGAAGACTTATAAATTAACAGCTGCCGAGATGGAGGAGCTGACTTCGGCACCGGAATCATTGCCCTTGACACCGTCAAGGTCGCCGTTACCTGTGGCACCGCCGCTCGCTCCGTCTCCCGTCGTTGAAAGAAACGGTTCGGCATCTGATGCTTCTCATTATAGATCCGATGAACAGCAGCGAGATAATCGATACGGAAAATATAGCAATTTGGAATCCTTGGCAAGTTCAATAGATGCCAATGATGATCGTCGACCAACTGGGGAAACGACTCCCCTGAATGTAAATGGCAGGCGCCCTAACTTCTCTTCCCGCGGCGTTTCTTCTCCTCAATTTTCTGATACTCGGATACCATCATCACATACGAAAGTATCCTCCAATCCAATTTCCCCCAAGCGCAAGCCAGTCCCGTCTGGCGCCCGCCCTGAACACCTGGATACCAACCTGCCAAAATCAGCAACTCCCGCGGGGAAGTCGTCTTCACTCGATCCTCCACCATCTCCAATTCCGCAATCTATTCCACTTCCACCTATGTCGATACCCACATATTTGCAACTTGAACTCTCCTCGTCTATGCCATCACCACTGTATATATACCGTTCGTCGACGAGCGATAATGTCTACGAATCTTCAAAAATCAAATTTGAGCGTTTACTGAATTTTCTTCTATTGCCACCGCAGCTGGAGCAGGTCCTTGTTTTTGGTTCATTTGCATGTTTAGACGCATGGCTTTACACTTTCACCATATTACCACTTCGGTTCCTGAAAGCTGCTTCTATTCTAATTCAGTGGTGGGGACAGGCTCTTGCTAAGGAAATACAATTCATATCCGGTTTCATCTATCATGGATTGGGGCGAATGTGGCATCGTCAGCGTGGACGGGCAGAGATCACCGACTCTGCACCACAATCCAGAAACGTCTCGCAAGCCAGCCAACCTCATGCTTCAGCCACGTCACATCAACCTCAATCTGGTGGAACACTCAAAAGCTCTAACGGAAATACCTTCGCCGAAAACTTGAAATCCGAAGTTGAGTATAAGTCGAGACAAGGATGGGGTCGTAGACATCGGCGAACAAGATCACAGCCGTCATCTCTATCGTCAAATCACAAGGCTGATCTCCTTCAGGGAGCTGTTATCATTTGCAGCTGTATCATCTTGATGAAGCTTGACGCCAGCCGAATGTATCATAGCATCAGAGGTCAAGCAACGATCAAACTTTACGTGATTTACAACGTACTGGAGGTAAGGCGTCTTGGATTCAGCCTGACGAGATTGATGCTAATGTGTTTTCAGGTTTGCGACAAGCTTTTTTCCGCCCTTGGGCAAGACATATTTGAATGTCTTTTTTCTGTCGAGACACTGGGGCGAGACCTTCACGGCCGAAGCAAAGTAATTCGACCTCTCGGGATGTTCATTCTTGCCCTCATATACAACGTCATTCACGCCACAGCATTATTCTATCAAGTCGTTACGCTGAATGTGGCGGTCAACTCCTACTCGAACGCGCTGCTGACCCTTCTGATGTCGAATCAATTCGTTGAAATCAAATCGTCTGTGTTTAAAAAGATCGAGAAGGACAATCTCTTCCAACTCACGTGTGCGGACGTGGTTGAGCGTTTTCAATTGTGGCTGATGTTGATGATTATCGCTTTACGGAATATCGTGGAAGTTGGTGGGTTAAGCATTGTCAACAATGGAATCAGCGGTGCCGAATTCGTGAAGGAATCCGTTCCGATTCGTACCAACTCGATACTCCCAGTGAGCTTTACAATATTACCTAGCTGGGCAGGTGAGGTTTTATCGCCATTCCTTCTAGTTATTGGTAGCGAAATGCTGGTGGATTGGGTCAAACACGCATACATTAACAAGTTCAACAACGTTAAACCAGCTATCTACCAACGCTATCTTGATATTTTGGGCAAGGATTACTATACCAATGTAAGGCTTTTCCATCTCTACTAGTAACATCAGCTGACCCTGGCAGGCTTTCGTGAATCAAAATCTAGTCAAACGACTGGGCCTACCCGTCATTCCCCTGTCATGCCTCTTTATTCGATCCTCAGTCCAAACTTACCACATGTTTCTCGCCACCAACCTCCCAGCACCCATCCCCTCCACCGCGACCGAACTATCTGCAACCGCCTCTCCCGCCACGACCGCAGCACTCGAACACTTCGACAATATAATACGCAAAGCGCTCGGGCGCTCTGCATTAGGGATTCCCGACCCCGCTTCCACAACTCCCTGGTACCTCCCCAGTGCCGATGATGCAATCGCCGCTGTCGCCATGCTGGTCTTCTTCCTGGGCGCCTTCTTCGTCCTGCTCGCCTGCAAGCTAGTCCTCGGCATGCTTTTGCTGCGATTCGCGCGCAACCGGTACCGCAACATGAAGAACAAGGAGCACGCCAGTTACGATACAGGCGGCAGGAGGCTTGGCGGTTGGGGCATGGTGGAAGTCGATGAGGCGAAACGACGATGGATCTATGATGATGACCCGGAGGCGCTCAGGAAATTGCGGGAGAAGGAACGGGCGTATAAGGAAAAGCAGGACAAAGAGGGTCCGGCAGGACAGGATTTCGGGAAGATCAGCCGCTATGAGATGGTGAAGAGGATCTGGTAACTTGTAAAATCCGATGTATGATTCATATATAAGAATGTAGACTCAACGAATTAATAAGGCTATTAAGTCATGTAGGAATAAGCATGAAAACAGATATCTAAGAACACATCTATCTTTTCAAGTCTAGGGAACCAGGGATTAGGCCTCTTCTGGGATTCAAAGGCATCCGGAGAGGATCTTAAAGAGACGCTGTCAATCTGAAGGTTCCACAGAATACTGCAGGTCCAGTTGTACATTCCACAGCTGTTACTGCCATCACCTAAAGCCATTCTAGGCTTAGCGTTGTAGCCTCAAATCCGATCTCACGAATTCGATCCAACCCTCACATTTAAGGCATCATGCTCAGGCAGCCCCAGGCATCCTCAGGCAGCCCAGACAAATAGCGCATCCACTAGCGCCAGATCCCCCAAAGCCTCATCTCCATCTATACTCTAGTATAAATAAAATTATGATACTCAAAGAGTCCTTTGTATAAGCATTAAAACGCACTCTTTAGAATTTTGATAAGACGTCGTGGGGTTGAGATATGGGTGGGTAGAAAGTTTTGTTGCACGTCGCACTTTTGCGCACTCTTTTTCGGGAGGGAAATTTTGGGAGGGGATGAGGCTACATACAGCCTTGGGGCGAGGCTGGGGCCTCGTCGATCTATTGTTGCCAACCTGATGGGTCGCGATCACGTGGCTCTACCTAAGCGAGCCGATCTAAGGTTAACCTTAACTGCGTCGGGGCCGAAAGTTTAACATACCCTGCACTGGTATCTGATAGTTTAACGTACCTTATGCACCGCTGTTTTAATTATGAGAGCGTCAGGATTTAGGGGCTTTAGCCAGTGCCTATAGGTACTGTCTATAGCGGGCTGGCCCACTACCTACCTAAGGTAGTATTCCTTCCTCCACAACTCCCACTCCTACTCCCACTCCACCCCAACATCATGTTGTCGCCGTCGTCACCCCTGACCCCGCCCGACGTGGCTCTGGCGGACGTGGGGAGTGAGAGCTAGTTTGGCGAATGGGTAGATGATAGAATCTTACTTAACACCACCTTCGAGGGATATCCGCCTGGTGATGACACCGCGCCCTTCCTCCGAACGTTCTTTCAACATCTGCCCGAGCGCGAGGGCCAGCACAATCTCGCTATGGATGCGCATAATATGGCTCAGACTGGAAACTTGCGACAGCTCCGCGACCACCTCGAGGAGACCTTGCTCCGGGCTTTAAGGGCCCCGGGGGGGAGAACCCCGGCTACCATCACTCTATCGGCACGCCCTGCCGCCGAAGCTGCTGGCCAAGCGGGACTTAAGGAACGTTGTCAGGAGAGGGACGGTCATAGGTGTGTTATCTCGGGGATTTGGGATCCCGCTCACCGCCCCGAGGATGATATCATGTTTGGGTCCTTGAACGCAGCACATATCATACCGTTCGCCCTGGGTTCGTTCAGCAACGAAGTAGAGCGACAGCAAATTAACGCAATTTGGGGAGCTATTTACCGCTACTTCCCTAGTATTCGTTCCCGCCTCCAGCTTGAAATAGCGGATGTTAACAGGGAAGAGAATATCCTAACGTTGTACCGCCCGTTACATGAGTTGTTCGGCGCTTTCCACATTGTTTTGGAGAAGACGGAGACCCGCGACCGGTATCACCTCAAGACTTTCGGGACAATCTCTGGCGTTCTTGCCCCTCACCTACCCCGCGATGGGATTGTTACGCTACGTTCCCACGACGGCCGATATCCCCTTCCGGACCCTAGTCTCCTCGCGCTGCATGCAGCGATCGGGAATATCTTACATGCGACCGGCAGCGCAGAGAGAATTGAGAAGATCCTCCGGGATTTCGAAGGTGCTAGTGGTGGGCTAGCCCCGGACGGAAGTACCGACATTGGTTCCCTGTTGTCGATGCGCCTCCTTTCGTTGGATTAATCACCACGAGATAGCCTGCAAATGCTGAAGCCCGGAGCCCCTCCCCTACCGGGGGGAGGGAGTCGGAAGCCAACGTGGACTTAATGGCGCCACGCAGCTTACCACTTCCAGAGGTATATACATACATCTCTCTTTCCCTCTTAGTATTCCGACCCTCCTGGAATCTATTACTTATGGTCATTAGTGCAAAGATGTGAGGTTTCAACTCCCTTGATCGTTTTGTGTTAAGTCTGCGGATTGATCAAGCTATCAGACGTTACTATATACATGAAATAAGGTCACATGCCCTGACAAATCTCTAGCGCCAGTGCGCGAGATGCTTCAGAGGCGCAGCCCTTACCTGGTACATGGAAGAGCTCGACGACTTGCAACGAATGAGCCTTAAGCACGGACCAGGCGGGGTCCAGCCTTGGACCGCGCTCTTGTCACAAGACCCAAGGAGGCACTGGCTTCAGCACTCCGGAAGCTACAGATGACAAGACACACGATAGAATATGCTAAGTCGGACCGGAGTCTCCGCGCGTTTACGGCAGAGGTAATCTGGCACGCAAAGGCAGCCGAGTTTTACAAGCCGGTACAGTCACCGTACAGCAGTTGTCCTAAGCGTACAACAACCTAGACGCCGTAATCAGGCCTTTTATCACCAGACCCACAGAGACAACGACCGTCTCCTAATTTATAGAGGAGGTCGCCTCGAAACAGGACGCGTTAAAGGAGATGTTTAGAGCCCAGGCACGGGCACCGAGGTTCGAGCCTCGAAGACAAGGTAATGCCGGGATTCGCCAGGGCGAGAGGTTCCAAGCCCACCAAGCATATGGTAGATGAGATCTGTCCTGTCCTAGTGGTGGAAGATCCTGACCTTGATCTCCTAGCTGGGCTCGTCTCACCAGTTCATTCTGGAGGGCTGTACCTCGATAGTCGCTCCCATCATCATGCTCTCTTGCTTGATTGCTGGACGGCTGGTTTCGTCTGCTCTATTCATTTCGGCGAGAACAGTTGTTCATTTATAGCGGTCTACAATGGCACAGGCAAGGCTGACAATCTGACTGGCTCAACTCCCCCAAAGCCCCTCTTTGAAGGTCTTCTATTCCAGCAGGGCCAAAAGAGGGGCAGTGCTCTCCTGTGCGCGTAGATGTCTTAACTCTCTCGAAATTTTCAGTCTTTCCTGCACTTCTAGACTTCTACTTAGCAGGCCATGCTGCTCTTGCTCAGACGCTACCTGGGTACTACCTACCTAGGCAAGGTACCTTATGTATGTAAGTAACGTCTCACGACTCCTGGAATAACCTCTGGAATCATACATATTCCAGTGCTGATAGAGAAAGTAAGCGCCTCTCATGCAACTCTCTGAAGCCGCGCATACAGTACGTACCTCGGCAGGTAAGGCTGCGAACAGTAATAGCATGACTAAGCGGCAGGACACTCCAAACATCATACAACAACTCGTCGACTTACTCTTATCAAACTCACGATGAAGTCTTATCGACAAACTCTTAGCATCTTGGATTACTGACACTATCTTCTCAAAGTCGTCGCTCGCGCATTATGTCAAGCAGGCCAGAGATTACGCAGATCGCGGTCACGGATCTAGCTCCTGAGCACCTGGTGGTGCTGGAACGCGCTATCTCGAATATCTTGTCCACAGATCTGGCCTTCGAAACATTTGCTCAGATCGTCGACGGTCTCCCGATTCGCGATGTTTATCGGGATTATTACCCTCGAACCCGTCCAGATTTTGAACGTAATTTGGAGCCTAGTCAAGAAGCGAGACAGGTTGTAGAGGCCTTGCAGGAAAGCTTTAGTATCAGGTCGTTGCAAATCGAAACCAAGGTACCTACTTATCTTACGTTTTACATTGTCAGATGTTTTATATTCTCACTCGCAGAACCATAAATTTCTAAGAAGCTAATTGATAATAGGTCGCTCAAGCATACCAGAACACTTCTATAAAGTCGAGAGAATTTGATTTACGGTTGATGGAAATAGTTGCTCATATATGCCACGATATTGCAACTAGGTTATTTATCAATGCCGGAGGCGGTCTTCACAAGCCAGATCCAAAGGATGCTCAACCTCCTCAACTGCCTGGTGAGCTACCACTTGTGCCCGTCCCCCCTAAGCCTACAGAGCTTTATCATCCCGACTACCAAGCTTGGGATCAATATCCGAAAGGTATCGCGGATATCACAGGGTATTGGGCAGAGTATCGTTTGTTCGGCGGCGTCGTTTTATTTGATCGAGGAGAGTCAGGGACAGAGGTATATACATACATCTCTCTTTTCCTCTTGGTCTTCTGACCCTCCTGAAGTCTATTACTTATGGTCATTAGTGCAAAGATGTCTTCATCCACCCCGTTGGATTCTACCGAATCTACCAGGTTTCCGAAGCTCAAATCCAACAATTTACAACCTTCCTATTATCAGAGCCTTCGCAAGACCATCAGACCTCTCATGGATTACGTATTTCTGCGGAAAAATATGCTCGTCGTATAGATCCTTACGATGCAATGTCTCTTCACATCTACCGCAACAAGTACGAACGGAAAATCCCACCAAGGAAACCAGTTCGCTGTGTAGTTCGCGGGGATGACTTCCCTGAATTGACGGATTCCATGGCGGACCTGGTCAGCCGTGTTAAAAGTCGGAAGACCGCTGGTGATACTTGAAGCGCGCGCGATGCCCAGGGTCATATGGGGCCCCTATCAGCAGATTGTGCAGGGGCAAGGAAATGCGTGAGCGGAATTCACGGTTGTCTCTGTTATGAGAAAGGTGATAATAGCGTTATTGATACCCTTTTACTACTGATAATCCTGACAGTCGGAGCTTGTGAAGGCGGTTCCAGATTTTTGAGGACATAGGTAGGTGCAGAGACAAATCTCTGAACGAGATTACCTGCAGGTGGGTTTGTAGACAGTATCCTCACATATTCGTGTACTTAATTAAGTCTCGAGTACAGCGAGTTGACTATCCGCATACATTTTCATGCTATGATAAGTACGCTGTTGCTTCAGAAGAAGCGTACACTCCCGCCAGACTCTCTGTTTCAGAGCTCCATGCATTTGCCTATTAAATCATCCACCTATGTATCCTTTATCCATCCCGAGTCCGTCCAAACCCCTACCTATATCCCCCCTCCCCATTCCACTCCTTTATCATTCCCTCCCAAAAGCCTCTTGCAAAGCTTCCACCATATACGAAATGGTATCTCTACCCTGCTGTATCGCGCCATCCATAGCCAAGAACGGATGCGGCATGCCCTTCATAATCTTCACATCGACGTGCACACCGGCGCCTCTCAGCTTCTCCGCATACCGCTCGCCCTCGGTCCTCAGGACGTCCAGCTCACCCATCACGATCAACGCCCGCGGCTGCTCAGCCCAGCCCTCCTCATACAGCAAGGGGCTCGCTTCGGGATGGGCCCACAGGCGCTGCTCGGGAAGATAGTGATTTCGATACCACAGCATCTTGGCCGCGGGCAGCGCGGGCACGAACTCGTTCTCCTTCCAGCTCAGCGTGTTGCTCGCATCGGCGGTGTTGTCCGTGACGGGCACGATCAGGAGCTGGACCTGGAATTTCGGGACGAGGGATGGGGGCGCCGCGACAGCTTTGTGGCACATGGTCGCGGTCAGGTTGCCGCCGGCGGAGGAGCCGCCGATGGCGGCCTTGGAGAGGTCGAGATGCAGGAGCGAGTGGCCCGTGGTCTGGAGCCATAGGAGGGCTTCCCAGGAATCGTGGACGGCTGCGGGGAAGGGGTTTTCGGGAGCAAGTCTGGTGGGCACTGGCTTAGAGATTTGCAAGGACTATAGAGGGGA